CGATACTGAGCGGGCAGACAGACTGGCATTCGAAGCAATGAGACTTGGACACTTGTAAATGCCCTCATCTTTCTCTTTCGAAGGCCATTCGAACCTCGCAAAATTTGCCAAGATACGCTGCTTATCCGTTTCATCTCTTCCAATTCTCCCACCTCCACCACCGCCACATATCTGCCACTCTTCCACGCCCTCCCCTTTCCACTCGTCACCTTTTCGACCTTCAGAAGTAGCAGAAATATCACCATCACCCTTCCCTCTCAAAAGACATGAAGTCCCGGACTTCCCAGTCCAACGAGTCATATGCCAACTTCTTACTGCAGGCACCCGTTCATCATCAATCAATCCGACCTGCTCAGCTTCGGCAGACAACTCGGCATCTCCAACCTGACTCTGCCATGCAGGTACCCGTTCCCCAGCAAAAGATTTGAAAGATTACTGCTGTATGTCAGGAAATTTAGTGAGTTTTAGCTGAACCTAGAGCGGAGTTAGGGACACAGTCTTTTACTAGCGATTACTAGGCAACAAGCTACCCGCAATCCTCCAATTTAGTAGCGTTTAGAACTACTCGGGTTAGTAACGATTTAGGTTAAGAAGGGCGCCTCTCTCGAGCCTGTCGGCTGTTAGAAGTAGCTATTTTATAGTAGAAGAGACTATTATAGAAGCGGCTATTTTGTAGTAGAAGAGACTATTATAGAAGCGGCTATTTTGCAGTAGATAAGACTATTATATAGACCAAGATTAAATACACTATTATTACTATAGAATCGCTATAAAATTACCTCCTTCTACGACTATAGCGGAAGGCTTGCTCTCGCTAATTGCTATCTCTTCGACCTCGTTATTATTATTACTTAGTACGTAGTCTACGAGTTGTTGTTAACTTACTACTACTAGCGATTAACTAGCGGTTACTATATGTCCTTATATCTTTTATTTCTCGTCTAACTCGCTCGTTACTAGGCAAGTTATTAGCGGCGTCGTCGTCCGAGTCGTCTGTTGTCTAGCTAGTTAATCGCCTAGCGGCTCGCTCGATATCGTCTTCCTTTATATAGTCTATTATTGTCTTAATAAGGTCGTCGTCTACGTTATAGAAGATAAGAAGCTCGAAGAAGGAAGAGAGGCCTTTATCGGCGAAGCAACGGTCGTCTATAGCGTAGCCGTTAACCTCTTAAATACCGTGTATATAGACCTATAATAGCTTACCCTAATACTAGTAGTTAGTTAAATAGCGAAGGCCTAGTAGCGTAGGTAGACCTCGTACTATTGTATCCCCTATTAAATCTACCTCTTTAACGTCGTCTATATCGAGCGGTTATAAGGACTATATGTCTAATATTGTCTCGCGGCGCGGTATATATAGTAGAAGAGGTAGAAGGCGCAGAAATAGCCTCGGAGTAAGGTCGCCTAGTAGAGGTAATATAAATATAGGTTATCGAATAGGTAACGACTAAACGCGCCGTTTTAGTAACGGTCGGAGGGTTATATTAGCATAGATATAATGCGTTTCCGGTGTTGTTAGTAGCAATCGAGGGCGAGTTAGTATCGCTAGTTTAGAAGGTAGCTAAGTTGTCTACTATCGCTCGGTCTTACCTATAAATAGGACCTCTTATAGGTTAGCGATAAACTAGTTAATATTTAGTGTATAGCAACTGTCTAAGAAGTCCTTTACCTTCCGTACGTAGAAGGTATAGAATAAGTCCTTTATAGAAGGGTTAATAGAAGGGTCGTCCTTTATCCGCTAGTACTTTAGATTTAGTGTTTCTACGGCCTCCTTAAAGTAGCCTCGAAGGTCTCTTAATTGAGGTGTTTATACTAAGGAAACGGCGTCTTCTTCGTAACCTTCGATTACGAGTTACTAAGTGTCGAGAACGCGCTAGTATTCGTAAGCAAATATAACGTTAAGGCCTAGAAACAGCTCGATATATCGTCGCTATTGTAGCTTACTAATTTCTAGTCTATTAAATAGGTAGTCTCGTAGAATATAGTAATAAGGTAGGCGGGTTTAAAACTATACGAGGCAGTTGCAGCGAGCCGGAGTTATATAGTTATAACTACGCAGTATGCCCTTATATATAGGCGCCGCCTTAGCTTCTAATTTAATAGCAATATCTATCTGTTCTCGAAGGCGATCTTAAGCGGCCGGTAGTTGCAGAGACTCGAAGCTTAGAAGGCCCTTTTAGTACTAATATTGTATGCCTTTGCTAACTCTATAGCTAGCTAGTTATGCCTTATAAGCTAGCCTATCGTCTACCTTAAGAACCTCGAGAATTATACTATATAGGTTATAGAACACGAGGTTCCGCTTGTTGCGGTTATACTTAATAGTATAATAGTAACCCTCGAGAGGCGAAGTTGTCCTTATTTGTAGCAACAATAGACTATAGAGCCGTGCCTAAGTAGCCTATTTCTGTAACGTCTCGCTAGTCTAATTATAGCGTATATATTAGACCTTGTTCTGCTAGTTTATAGGCTTCTTCTCTCCTAACTACTCCTATATCCAATTTATATCGATAGTAACCTCTCCTACGCTACGGGCGTAGTAGATTGCGTAGTAGAATCGCTTTATAATCTTAGGATAATAGGCTTCTAGAAACGAGCGAAGGAAGGTCTCCTTAACGTAGCGCTAGTAGAGATAAATAAGTATAGGTCGCTCTTTAAAAGAGAGATTGATAGCCGCCTATTCTAAGGCCGAGTCGTCGGTTATAGCTGCAATAGCCTTCTAGTGCGGTAACTACGATTTAATAACTCGAAGTCCGGCTTCTACTAGCTTAGCTTTCTAAGATTCGAGTAGCATATATCCTACTAGCAACTAACACCCTAACCTATTACGAATATATATAGTAAAAAGGCTCTAGCTAAGGTCGGTAGTCTTATAAGTTGCGTCTAGCAAGAACAACTATATAGCATATAAGTCGGTAATGTTTTAAATTTTTAAAGTTAGTAGTTAGAATAATAGAACGCAAGCTCGTAAGCTTAGTTATACGCCTACCTTCTATAGCAATAGCACTACTAATAACAACAATAACGATAGCTGCACTTACATCTCCTACCTCGCTATTTAATAATACTCGCTACTAGTCGGTTTAGAAGACGATACCGCGCTCTATCTTGCTCTTTAGTTTCTTAGAAATCGCCTAGTATTAGAGCTCTTTGCTATCTACATTATTATAAAGGCCTTTAAGCACGGTAGGAAGGTCGTCTAGCTAAATAGTCGCATTTCCTCGCTTAGCACTACGTACTTTCTTTAGGTTAGGCCTAATCTTCGACTAGGCGATAGTACTAACCTTTATATACTATCTACTAATCTTACTAAACTCGTCCTTTAATAGGCTATTTTTAATAAAGTCTAGTACCTTAGCGACGTTAAATTTGCGCTATTCTATTAACTCCTCGAGGAACACCCTTAGCGCGTTATTAGCTAACCTAATATCTATATATTTTAGGTTATAGTAGTATAGGTTATTACCTACTATAGAAGGGTCGACTCGGTAATAGCGGACACTAATTTTATATAGATTAGCCTCTTCTTTGCTCCGGAAGTGCGAGATAACTACGATTGCAGTATTATATAGCTCTTTATTATATTTAGCCTTACGAATGCCCTCCGAGGGCGACCTATTCTGCTACTAATCGCGCCTATAACGACAATACTAGTGCGACCGCTATTGCAATCTATCCTTCGTCCTTTGCGACTTCGCCTCCTTATATACGTTACTTATATAGCCCTTTAGTACCTCGAAGCGCTTAGGCTCGAAAGTTAACCCCTATAGTATATTAAATAGCTGCTCTCGGATATCGATTATATTATATAGTATATAGTTAGGCCTAAACGGCGGCGGCATAGCGATAATAACAACAACTAGAAAGTGCTATTTAAGCTATTATAGAAAGAGCTAGATCTATATATAAGAAAGAGGCATAGAGATGAGGTTAGAACTAGAAGTATAACCGAGAAGGTTAATACGGTACTAGAATAGGAAAAGCACCGTCGATTACTAGGCAAACTATACTGAGTCAGTGGATAACGCCCTCCGGAAGTAAACCACTGTTGCAAACAGTGGTACGCTAAATTTCCTGACATACAAGAATACCTATTTGAATCCCTTGTCGTGACTCCGTCGTGAACATGCAGGAACCCGTTCTTCTTCAGGTTCGTGGTCGTAGTAGCTGTTGCCGGTACCCGTGTATAAGATGTCTGGAATGGAATTGCACGATTCGTCACGAGGAATTTCACATGGATCGATTGATGATGGCCTAATGTAATTGCCAATCATCCGTTTCTCATCAACAAGAGTCGATGCAAGCCCGCAGGGGTCGGTGGCGACAAGATCAACAAAGCCGCCGTGACACTGATATTCCATCGTGCCGCTCGTGTAACGCTCTCCGTCCTGCCTCTTCGCAAACGGTAGACGGATACCTGCCTCACACCCACCAACCTGCTCGAAGCCTCGCGAAAGATCCTCGACGACCATCACGCTGTTCTGTCGATTCCCCTCCATCTTTGAGATCGCGAGGAAGCCACGATCGTTTTCGAATCAAGATCGCGTGAGTTCTTGCCGAAGGATACTCAAGCGCGTCCGCGGAGGAGTCTTCCGTGGGAGAAAGACTGCCAAAATCCAATTCTCCATTTTCGGCAATTGCGAGAATTTGTTTGCGCGGAGGAGAAGTTTGCTCAGTGGATGCTTGCTCGCCGTTGTCTTCTTTCAAGGCTGATGCAGAAGGTCCCATCGTTGGAAAGAAATGGTTCTTGCTTGGAAGAGAAGATCGTTGGAGCAAGGGAACTTATTGACTACGAGTAATTGACTACGAGTATGACTGTGGCAATGAGATAGTGGAGATACTATGGATGGTGGTGAATGAGATCTTTTGTTTGCCTACCTGCGATGCGACATCGTCCTTTCCATGGATGACAAGCAAGATCTTGCGCTTCAACACGTGTCGCGACGGCACGATTTTTGCTGGAGAAGTCGCTGTGAACACCACCTACAAGACTTCCGGTGTCACCGCCAGGCCCATACAGCCCACCAGCAGCAAACCTCCAGTGGTTCGTCATCGTTATGTGACGACCAGTCATCGTAGCCAATCTCCTCACCTTCATCAACGATGTGGAGTCCTATCGCGTTCATGCGCGCTCGAAAGTCATTGCGTTCACTAGCATACGCATCACGTAGTGGCAGCTCGATGACGACTCTGGCTTGCCACTGGCTGCTCAGGTGATATTGTATGGCGTTCACAAGCAGGCGAGCATGATCAGAGCTGTACAGAGGATCCGCTGCCACTATCAGGGAAAAGGCTTGTGCTTCGTAGTCCTTGCCGGCATTATTATCGTCCAGGAGGAGGGTTTGAGGCTGATTCCAGTCCAAAACGCAGCACGTGGCCCGTCCTCCATGTGTACGCAGTAAGCCAGCGTTGACTTCTGCATTGCGTTCCAGATTTGGAACAATATCAGGAAGGTCCGTGAGTAATACGTGACGAGAGAGTATTGCAGCAGCAGCAAGACCTACTAGTCCGGTGCCAGATCCAAGCTCTAGGACCGTTGCATCTATCGGTAGGGGTGGAAGTGAGGTGTGCAAAAGCGTCATCCGTTTTGCGAGCAAATATGACGATGCCCACGTCTTTAGACCCAGAGAGTCACCCGTCAGCGCTGGTTCATGAAGAGTCAGGTCCAGGTACGGATCGGGACAGAGCACATGTGGATCTGTTTCATTCGGCGAATGCCTCCCGATGCTACGGTCCTGGAGTGGTTGGAGCGGGATGACGAAGGTCCTCTTTATCGCACCCATGGCGGTTCTGCCACTGCGCTCACCCAGTCTCTGCGATGCAGCTTCCCATATGCGCTCCTTTGCAACATCATCCTCAATCCAGGCGAGGGGCGAGGAGACGATTTTTGTCAAGTAGCCAGGTAATCCTTCGCTCTTTACTTTTTTCTTCTTGCGATAGGGTGTGGAGGTACCAGAACCATGAGTAGTATGGCTCCTTGGCGTCGCTTCCCAGGAAACGGGCTCGGAGCTGAGGTCGGCGAGCGTTGTGAGGAGGGTTTTGGCCGAAGGCTTTGTGTAGAGCTGTGGCAGGTCGAGCACTGCGTTGTCGATCAGCTATCGAATGATCTGTCTAATCCGACGATTCCGCGCTGCAAGTGATCGCGAGGCGGCGTACATACCATCGAGTTCGTCCTCTTCGCTTTCGCCAAGGCCGAGTAGTCCTTTGGCGGGACCAAGGGTATCTGCATTATGATCCATTACGGCCGCCTGTATTAGATCTGTTTCGTTGCGCAGTGCATGCGGTGCCTGCGGCGCAAGTACCTAGCACCAGCACAGTCGGCCGAAATGTGCCAAATGCGCAGGAGATTTCTCTAATGCAAAGGCGCACGGGCCAAAACAACCTCGTTCCGACGATCTAGACCCGATCTTTATCTAGTTCATGGAGTTGGGCAGAACTGCAGGAAGCAACCACATACACAATGCATGTGTCAAAGATGCAGGTCTATATGCGAACTTGCACGAGCGTCGAACGGACGGCTTCATGCAAAGCAATTTGAGATCAAGCGCGTGAAAGGTCGTGCTCTGAAATCATTCCAGAGTGGCCTTGAAGCCCTCGTAGGCGGCATTAAGGTCAAACTGCAGGTCTCTGGCTTGCTCTGGGCTCAACTCTTCGGCAGCACGCATTTGGTTCAAGGTAATGAGCCAATGCACGATCTTGCCCTTGTTCTCAAAATCGCGGTCCGTGACTTTGTTTACCGCCTGGATGGTATCGACCAGGATCGGATGCAAGGTGTCTTTGGACAGGATGTTCATGCGTACTGCATCGAAAAGAGTGATGAAATTCTCAGAGGCAGACACAATAGCAGAGGCGTTGGCTGCGCTGGGTGCGGTGCTCTGTGCGTGAGAATTGGATGCGCGTTGAGAGGTATTCCGCGTAGGCACAGTCTCGATAGTGGCAGGCAGTCCAATGCGCAGCCTCTCGGTAGCCTTGGGCACTTCGAGGTTCCACTCGCTTTTGAAGCGCTCCAAATCTCCAAAAGCTGCCTGTACGCTTTCCGCAGCAAGGGTGCTCTTGTACTGGCGGAGGAGACGATCACAGGTCTCTGTGTACTCGCTCTCCTGAATGCTGTCCCTCAGATACGCCTTCTCCAGTGCATCTAAAGTGATTATGATGCTGTATAGCTCGGCCAAAGATTCGTACAGGTCTCGTTCGGCGGCAGTATCGGCTAGCTGGACTTCCTGGAACGGTCTTAGCAGGCTTCACGAATGCAGTACAGGGCTACGAACGGCATCGAGGTTGACAGTTGCCGTGAGGTTGCTAGACGGCGTATAGCTGTGAGGAGTCGGCGCATAGGCCAGTTGCTGTCGCGCATACATGATCCGGTCCTGTCAAAGATACAGGCAGATGCTTTGTTTCGTTGCTGCGCTGTGAGGCTCTTTTTGCTTGGCGGAGAAGTCGGCGCTTCTGGCAGCAGATGCCGATGCTCGCCAAAATTTCGAGACCTTCACCTGGAGGTTGTTGAGATATTCTGCATGTGTACACTTTCGGTCTTTAATAACGCACTAACTGTTCGCAAAGATGGCGCAGAGCAAGGCGACCAAGAAGTTCGAGAAGAACAAGCTGAAAGGTGTGCTGGACCACCGCAACTCGATCAAGAAAGTCAAGCAGAAACAGCAGCTCAAGGCGAGAAAAAAGGCTAGGAAGGCGGAAGAAAATGGCAGAGAGCCAGGAGAGGAGGTCAAGCCCAAGACCAGCAGCAAGAAAGCTGCAGATGAGGCATTCAAGGACATGAGCGTGGACGACTTCTTTCAGGGCGGCTTCGAAGTGCCAGAGCTACCCAAGAAGAAGGGAAGCAAGAGAAAGCGGGACGAGGAAGAAGAGACTGATGCGTCGGACTCGGACGACTCCTTGGTGCATGAAGCTGTACCTGGTGCCAGTGACGATGGGTCAGACTCAGAAAGCGACGAAGGAGATTTCAAGGAACAACTGGATGCGCTCGCGAAAAAAGACCCAGAATTCCACAAATTGCTGCAGAAGGACGAGCCGGAAGTGTTCAACGATCTTGATGCCTTGCAGCTGAGCGAAGAGGAATATGATGAACCGAAGCGCAAGAAGAGAAAGGGTGACGAGTCTGAAGAAGAGATGGGCAACGAGCTGGGTTTGGCGACAGTAAAGAAGTGGAGGAAAGCGCTGGTCGAGCAGCATTCGCTTCGAGCTGCAAAGGAGACTACAATCGCTTTCCGCTCTGCAGTGCAAAATGCAGACGCGGAAGAAAAAGACTTCAAATATTCTGTGTCTGATCCAGACGTCTACCATGAACTCCTCACCACTGCGCTCAAGGAGATCCCGAGCATTTTTCAACACCATTTACCAACATCGGAGAAGAAAAACGGCAGAGCACAGGTCGCAACAGATTCGAAGAAGTTCAAGACTTTGACCCCCATTCTTCGCTCGCATGTGGCAGGGATCACACATCTTTTGAACAACCTAACGGATGCTGCCACCTTACGATTGACGTTGTCGTCTCTCCTACCACTTTTGCCCTACCTGTTGTCGTTCAAAAAGCTTGTCCGAGACGTGGCGAAACCTGTCACCGAAGTCTGGTCGACCTACTCCAACACCGAGAGCACCAGAATAGCCGCATTTCTCGTTATGCGAAGACTGGTCGTCATCAGCGATCCTGGCATTCGAGAAGGAGTGCTCAAGGCTACGTACCAGGCTCTTGTGAAAGGTGCGCGCAACACTTCCGTCCACACTATGCCTGGTGTGAACCTGATGAAGAACTCCGCTGCCGAGCTTTGGGGACTCGCGGGAACAGAAGGAGGCGTGGCGTACACGACGGCTTTCAACTTCATCCGAAGTTTGGCCATGCATTTGCGGAGTAGCATTACCAACAATGCCAAGGAGAGCTACAAGACCGTCTACAATTGGCAGTTCGTGCATAGTCTCGACTTCTGGGGCAGAGTGCTTGCAGCGCACTGCACGGACTCTTCCTCAACACTTCAGCCACTGATCTATCCCCTGGTACAAGTCACACTTGGTGCTCTACGATTGATTCCAACAGCAACATACTTCCCTCTGCGATTCCAGCTGGTTCATTCTCTGCTTCGAGTCAGCTTGGCCACTGGCACGTATATCCCGCTCGCAGCACCTCTCTACGAAGTTCTGGCGAGCGCTGAAATGCGCAAGCCTCCTAAGCCTAGCACTCTGAAGCCGCTCGATTTCAACACCACCATTCGTACTCCAAAGCCGTATTTGCGCACAAGGACATATCAAGATGGTGTAGCTGAGCAAGTCCAGGAGTTGCTTTCGGAATTTTTCGTGATGTGGGCTAAGAACATCGCCTTCCCAGAGCTCGCACTACCTGTCACAGTCATGCTTCGAAGATGGCTGAAAGAGGCTAACGCGCGTAGTAAGGCTAAGGCAGGCAACAAGAATCAGAAGATCAATGGCATGATGCAACTACTGGTGCAAAAGCTCGAAGCGAACTCGAGGTGGATCGAAGAGCGCAGAGCTAAGGTCGACTTTGCTCCGAATGATCGGAAGGGTGTCGAGAGTTTCCTGGATGACGTGACTTGGGAGAAAACGCCATTGGGTGCGTATGTTGTGGGTCAGCGCAAATCAAGAGACGAAAAAGCTCGGATCGTGGAAGAAGGTAGGAAGGAAGAAGAGCGCAGAAGGCAAAAAGAAAAAGATGCCAAGGGAGCTGCAGAGGAAGAGTTCGAGGGTGATGAAGATGAAGAAGCATCGGACGAAGACGAAGACGAAGCCGACGAGATGGTTGATGGTGAGCTCGAGGACGATGATGAAGGAGAAGAGGAAGAAGGGGAGAGCGATTGAAAGTGGCTCTCTCAGGTAACTCGCTGTGTTGCTGCTAATTCAGATCTGGATGCTTCCACAGCCTTCACCAAATAAATGCGACTGTAGAGCCTCTCGCGCCAGAGTGCCCTTGAGCCATAACGGCGTGAGGAACCACTATGACGCTCTTTCCTTGACAGCAAATTGGAAGCCGTCTAAATCACAATGCAGGCGTCATATGACGATTTTGATCCGCTTTGCAATCACTCGCTCTGATACATATCACCAACCTCACTTCCGTGGTCGTCAGATGTTAAGACTTGGCGCCGCTGCCCACTCAAATTGACTGATCATAGGCTTCATATGGATGTGCAAAGCTTTGACATCACAGGCGACGGTGTCTCAAAGAAATCAGTCTTCCTCACTTATTTCTTGGAACATGTTCGCATACAGATCTCTCGACAGCTTCACTCTTCCACTGCACCATCCTTCCAACCTTCTTCCATTACATCTTCAAGATCCGGCGCTAATCACGCTCCGCTTCATTCACCTTGATATCTCTTACACTCGGCTTGTCTCCAAGCAATCGTTCGATATGGATCAATCAGAGAAGACCGAGGCCGAGCAGAAGGCACTATCAGCACAATGCTCGATGATTCGCTGTCGCATTCGCAACATCGTAACTTCCGCAATCAGCGGCGATTTGCACATGATGCCGAAGCCGTACAAGCCGGTCAAAATTCGAGACGCCAATGACGCGACCTGGAAGGAGCTCTCGCAAGAGCATGATATCCTAGTCAAGAAGATCGGGGAGATGAGAAAGACTACTGAAGTGAAGAAGAGGAACGATGTCATTCGCGCGCTGAGGATACAGTATCCGAAGGTCGCCAAAAAGTTTCCAGAGCCACAAGACCCAGTCGAAAAGCCAGCACCAGCACCGGTTGAGAAGTCTGCCTCAGCTGAGAAGTCACCACTCCCGCGATCGACCTTCACTGAGCCGCCGCCATCATATGACAGTGCCTGTACTGTTCCATCCGCGTCGAGAGCAGCTCAGCCTCACGGACTACCTTCAAACTCCATCTTCAAGCAGACCTCTTCGAGCCCATCCTTGATGGGTCCACCACCAGTCCCAACCAACAATCTCAAGCGTCCAGCTCCAGGCCTCTGGCCATCTCAGCTCGGCAAAGGCATCAAACAAGAACAACCCATCGACCTAGACTCCGACGCCGACGACAACTCCCTTGAGCCCGAAGATCCAGCCGAAGACGACGAGTACAATCCATCCACAGAAGCACCAAAATCCCGCAAAGAACGTGTCGAAAACCGCGCCACCAAACGCGTCCGCTTCGAAGATTTCACCTCGAAACTCAAGCGCGCAATCAGCAAGCCAGCCTTGGAGTATGAGCGTCAGCAGTTGAAGTTCAAGTATGAGCTGCAGGATATCGCGATCAAGAAGAAGATTGCGGATCTTGAGGGGGATAAGGCTAGGGTTTTGGGGTTGGACATGGAGGCTTCGAATATTCAGTTTGAGAAGAGCAAGGCTGAGTTCGCGAAGAAGATGGAGGATTTGAAGTATGGTGAGGGTCAGGGTGGTCAGAGGGAGTGAGGTCTCTGCTCGGGGATCTTTCTGCGTGACCTGAGTCTAGGTACGTATCCGAGATTGTCGATGGAGCAAGGTATGGCATTGTGTCCCACATTTGCGGTCGAAGTTGACGCTGACTGAAGTTCCAGACGACTTGAGTTGGGTATTCTGGGATGGGATTCTGACAAGGAGTCTAGCGGCATATGGTGCTCCATATTTGAGATCTGATATCTCAGACGGCGAGGACACTTCCGAATCAGATGCATCAGGCGGCAAACGCGAATCTAATTCGAGCGGCGTTCACAGCACGTACTGAAATGACTCATGACTGTGTAATCATACAATTAATAGGAGATATCATATCAATCATTAGGCACATTCTTCCCGTCCCTCCCAATCTTCACATTTCCGCAAGCTCTTCCTAGCCAACGTTCCCAACCACCACGCGCCCTGAAAGCATCGGGATCTGTTCGTAAAGACGGCATGATTGTATCGTTCCAATTTGAGATGTGGTCTCCTTTGTACCAGGGCACGCACCAATCTGCCAATGTCCGCACTAAGCCTGTGTAGAACATGACCGGTATCCCGTCGATTTTCTTCGGTTGCAGACTGTAGTCGTTAAATACGAGTATCAAGGTGAACTCTTTAGGGGCTAGGCTTGAGGCTGCACATGGCACCAACCCTGCGAAATAAGCAAGCTCGATGTTTTGAGGAAGGGCACGATCTTCTGCGAATGTCACGCCGTTCATGGCTGGAGAAACCGCGCGCAGAATTGGACTTCTTCTGCCGAGTGGCGAGGAGGTGAGGCGTCGCGGCAAAGCTGGTGATGGAGCATGATTTCGAGGCGGTCGAGGAATGGCCGAGACTGGTGCCGGATATTGTCCGAAGATGGAGGGTAATTTGGGGCCTGGAGATGGTGTGCCGGATGTCGCGAAGAGGCTTGGCGAGGATGTGAATGCTGGCGTGCTACGAGGCTGCAAGGAATTGATGTCTAGGTCCGAGACGAACAGGCCTGACGTCGTGCGACAAGGACTTTCTTCGCGAGGTGGTGCGAGGTATGGGTGCGAAGGCGGTCGGTCGTCAGCGACATTGAGACTCGCTGTCCGAGGATGAATTGGCTCTGGCTGAACTAGTTGTGGCAATGAGGGATATGCGATGACAGCTGGTTCTGCTGGTGCCGGTCTGGGTGATTCCGGAGGCTGGTCGATGGAGACGTGGATAGAGCTCTCATTGCCATGTTTGGCGACTTCTGGCTTGGTTCTTGAGACGGGAGTGGAACTGCTTGGGTGCTTCGCAAGCGAAGACAAAGTCTTGCGCACCCTTTTTGAGCTTCGAGTGACAGGCATTTTACTGCCTCTGCAAAATACTGCTCGTAGCTGGAGTCGTGGTTTGCCTTGCCCGAACTCTTGGCGTATCGCGTGCGTTGCGGAGGTAACACATTCCTCGACAGAACAAAGAACATTGTGCTCACATCGCTTAATCTGAGTGCTGTTCGCAGCCATACGTTCGATCTGCTCAATGGGCCTTGAACTCCATTTCTGCCATCTCCTCTGCGCACATTTCCATCCTCCTGCTCGGCATCGATTGCCTTCTCTAGCTGTAACCTCCAAACGTCCTCCAAGACTCTTCTCTTACTGCTTTGCTGCTGTTCTCCGCATCACCGATGGATTTTGACAAATGCTGTCTCTTTTTCTGCAGTCGTTGTGGGGCGAATGTCCATTGCGAGTCAAGATTGCTCGGCGCTGTCGAAGGATGGCTTTACTTAGGCAGCGCAGGCCGTCAAGCATCGAGTTGTTGTAAACAGTTCACGACAGCGCTCATGCGCCGACTGACCGTTTTCGCATCAAGTCGGGTTGTTCATTTCTTCGCCTGACCAGTTGCCGTTTTCTCAGCCTTCTTGTCCTTCTTTCCTCCACGCAGGATTTCTAGATGGCCTGCTTTGCCAGCGAGAGACTGCTCCGTTGCGGCTATCAGGCCAGCCGAGTGCTTCTTCTTGAACTGCTCTTTCTTCAGGGCAGATGCTTTCTTTGGCTTGATCACTCGTGCGCCGGTCTGCTTGCGGTTCGTGCTGTGAAACTGTTAGAACGTGACGTTCTCCTTCCATCCATGGTCCTTTGCATACTTCTTCGGCGCTGGCGCCTTCGCTTTCTTGATCTGGCCCTGCGCCATTGTAATTGCCGTGATTCGTGGATACAAATGCTCTGTGTTACGAATCGATACGAGATTCTTGAAGAAAGTCCTGCGCCGGCTAAAATGATGCGAGCGCCAAGACAATGACAATCCGTCGCGGCCGTCCCAGAGCGTCTTCTCCGACTTCACGCGCTTCCTCTGCTGTCTCACACCTTACGTGTGTTACCCGGCTACCCTCTGACTCCATCGGCCCTGCGCGCTGCGATGGTCTATTAACGACTATCTCCGCTTCGAGTCCATGACGGTCTGTGGCCCATTATCTACAGCGCACATCGGACGCGACCATACATTGGTCTGAGGCCATCTGCTGCCCAGGCGGGACAGACATTTACTGTCGAAAGCGTATCACTACGGTAAGACCTCCCATGCTCGTGAAAAAATTCAACAATTGCGACTGCGGGTTTGCATGTGAATGTGTACGTTGGGGTTGGTCCAAGCTCCTATTTCCCGCTCTATAAAACGCAGCACTTTTCCAGTCCAATTCCAGCACAGAATTGCCAGCGTATATCCACCAGCACCGCTTCCATCGATGAAATGGCGCTACCCACGCGCGATGAACTCCTGGCACAGCTCGAGCCACATCCTGCCGCACCTGGCTCGACTTCCGTTTCGGACGAGTGTCCTATCTGCTACGAGGTGAGTATCTCCGCCATGTCCATTTGGTCACGATTTGAGCTGATATGATTCCTTAGGAGATCGAGTCTTCCTTCACCACCAGCTGCAACCATATTTTCTGTCGCGCGTGTCTAAAGCACTGGCTAAGCTCGTCTACAACATGCCCGAATTGTCGAGCAGTGCTGTGTCGTGCTTCTTCATTTGCGCAACTTGCGCTCGGCACTTTGCCTACCCGGAACGCTGTGATGATGGATCGCAATCTTCATTTTATGGAGAGGGTCGCTGCCTTCCGGACCAGCCGGTTGTATCCCCGCCAGCAGAGCGAAACCCTTTTGCATCAAGAGACTGAGAACGAGCACCCACTGCCTGATGTTAGAGCGCGCTATGGGCGCCACGTGGAGTACATTCATGACTATGACGATCTGGAGCGTTCAAATGAACTGAGAGCTGCTCAAGAGCGTAGAGCACGAAGGCTCGAGGACCTATTCCAGGCTGCGCAAATACAACAACCAATCGCCCAGATGCGGGCCCGCCCGGGTGAAGAGCAACGTCGTTTATCTGGAGAAGAACGCCGCAACGCTGAAGAGGAACGCCGCATGGCTCAAGAGGAACGCCGCGACCTTGTTGACGGCCGAGCACTGGGAGAAGAAGCATGATTTGTTCAATCGGGTCTTACAGTATGTGCCACTTTGAACTCGCTTGCGTTTTGCAAAGCTGATAAGCATAGTTTACAAGCCGTCCGAAAACACCGCAGAGAGCCTCGACTTTTATTCTCGGTCATTAAGGCGGTGACCGCAACGGTGAGAGCCAGGATGGATAAGTGGCGACGTAAAATACCTCCAGGAAAAGCTGCAAGGCCAGGAGCGACTCGTCAGTTCTGTATGCTGGAAGCATGCAGCAGTACAGGAGTCTGACACGATGTCTCCGGCACAAGCACGCTGAGATATGGAGGCTGTGACGCGGCGGCAGCGTAATCGCTTGACACCAGAACACGATGAGCCTCTTTCAAGATTCTACGTAATTCTGCTGCTTTGCATGAATGAAATGAGAACTTCACTGTCCGGCGCTCAAGAGAGACCTTCCCATACTCTTGCATCCCTGGCACTCGGCCAAAGGCGCGCTGGTGCCAAGCATTCCGGTCCTTCTCCGTCGCCGCACCCAACTTCCCGCTTCCTCTCCATCCCTTCTGCAAAGTCATCTTTTTCCATCGAGTCACATTTGGCCGCATCTTGTACGGCACACTCCGCAGCGAGTATATCAGCCAAGTTCTTTGTGCAGTTGTCGATCTTTCCCTGCTGCTACACACGACGATGCTTGTCTTAGCAATGCCCTGGCTTACCGTAGAAACTCGTGACCTAGCCCACCCCTTTTCGATTCAGTGGTAAGCCCACCCTTCTATGATGTTTCTGTAGATACTAATGAGACACGGTATTTTGGTGTAGAAACAGTATTTATTACTATATACGTATGGTGGGTCGATATCATCTACAGCATTCAACAATTCAATGGTGTGGGTGGTCAAACAAGGTTCTCACTGGTTACTAAGCCCACCCCTGGCTAATAGGCCCACTCTGGAATACAACACGCTGTATACGAAGGTCTAATTAGCCCATGGGCTAGGCCACGAGTTTCTACGGTAGTTGTAGCGACCTCTTTAGACTTCTGTTTAGCCGGAATTGGCATGCCAGTCCTTTACCCTTAACATATACAGTGTCGCAGAGACAGGCTCCTTTCGTTGATGTAAGTTCGCGTGCCATCTAGCCGGTGCAGGCACGTTTCAAGATGGTCGGTCTTCTTTCTTTTGCCGCTATAGCCCTTGCTACTGGTGCAGCAGCCATAGGTCAGAAGTCCAGCATCAATTTCGACGGCAATGGCTACTCACTTGCGGCCAATCGGTCGTCTGTTCAAATCGTGGCGGACAGAACGGACTGGCCAGCTGTACTGCGAGTTGTGGACGACCTTGCGATTGACTTTGGCCGTGTCACTGGAACGAACGGTACGAGCAGCCTTCTGAATGGAACAGCATCCACTCCAAATCTCAATGCCAGTCTGATATACAACATCACTGGGAGATCATTCGGTGTCTCAAGCAGCGGGGGAGTCGCAGGCGGCACAATCATCGCTGGAACAATTGGTTACTCTTCAATTATCGATCAGCTCGCAAAGGAAGGCAAAATCGACGTCTCCGTCATCAATGGCACCTGGGAAGCCTACACTTCGACGATTGCTTCTGATCCAATGCCTGGAGTTACTCAAGCACTGGTCGTTGCTGGATCGGACCGGAGAGGTACCATCTATGGCCTTTACAGCATTTCAGAGCAGATAGGTGTGTCACCCTGGTACTGGTTCGCAGATTCTCTGCCTCAGAAGCACGATGCAATATATGCGAGTGATGTCACCGTCGTCCAGACTTCGCCATCTGTGAAGTATCGCGGCTTCTTTCTGAACGATGAAGCTCCGGCACTTACTGGCTACATCGATGCCAAATATTCCCGAGGAGAATATGGCCCTGGCTATGGCGCCGACTTCTACCACTCGGTCTTTGAGCTTCTTCTTAGGCTAAGAGCAAATTACCTTTGGCCAGCACAATGGGATAGCATGTTCAATGTGGACGATCCACGCAACCAGGCTTTGGCAGACGAATACGGCATTGTTATGGGCACTAGTCATACCGAGCCGATGATGCGTGCTACGAAAGAATGGGGGGTGTTTGGACATGGGCCCTGGCAGTGGAACACGAATAACGAATCGATCTATCCATTCTTTGTCGAAGGTGCCGAACGCTCCAAACCATATGAAGGGATCATTACCATGGGCATGCGAGGCTATGGAGACACTGCGTTGACCGCGGATAACGAGATTGCAGTATTGGAAAATGTTGTCGCTGCTCAGACGGAGATCCTGGCAAGGATATGGGGCAATGATTCCGTTCAAAATCCTGACATTGTCCCACAAGTGTGGTGCTTGTACAATGAAGTGCAAGGATACTACGAGGACGGCATGACAGTGCCCGACTGGATCACCTTGCTTTGGGCGGATGACAATTGGGGTAACAATCGACGACTCCCATTACAGAACGAGACCGGCAGATCAGGTGGTGCAGGCGTGTACTATCACTTTGACTCTGTAAGTCTGTGAAGAGCTTCCTAGCAAAAGATTCAGCTGATCATGCTGTTTGCTATCTAGGTCGGCGCTCCTCGAGCCTACAAATGGATCAATACCATACAGCTTCAGAAGACATGGGAGCAAATGCATCTTGCTTACGAGCGCCAGGCTCGGCGTATCTGGATCGTGAATGTCGGCGATCTCAAGCCGCTCGAGCTTCCCATCAGTCACTTCTTCGATCTGGCCTACAATATAAGCTTGTGGGACAAGAATAGTGTGCCGAAATGGCTTGAGTTGTGGGCTGCACGGGAATTCGGTCAGGATGTGGCCCAGAGTACCGCACAACTTATGACCAATTACTCTATGGCTGCAGGGCGTCGGAAGTACGAGGTGGTCGACCCAAGCATCTACAGCGTCTTGAACTACAACGAAGCCGAGAGTGTCTTACAGCAATGGAAGGAAATGCAGACTTCAGCTAAAGCCATTATGGACTCGTTACCGGTTGAGGCTCAGGCTTCATTTTTTGAGATGATATATCACCCTGTTGCTGCTGGCTACGTCTTCCACGACATCATGATCTCAACGGCGAAGAATAGACTGTATGCCCAGCAAGGCCGCACCGTGGCCAACAGCGTTGCGAAACATGTTCAGAACCAATTCTTAGAGGATCGCAAGCTCACAGAACAATACAATGGTCAATTGAATGGGAAATGGAACCACATGATGGACCAGCCGCACATCGGCTACGAGTACTGGCAGCAACCGATGCGGCAAGCCTTGCCAGCTCTCCAGTATATCATGCCATCCGAACGCAGCTTGGTTGGCGACATGGCCGTTTCGATACAGGGCAGCAACGCGAGCGTGCCGGGTGATGACAAGTGGCATACGCTTTCTTCGAATACGCTCACGATGTCACCTTTTGACCCATATGGTGTTGGCTATCAGTGGATCGATGTGTACAGCGTCGGTACTAATGATGTCGATTGGAATATCACCTCGAACGCGAGCTTCGTTCACATCTCGACAACATCTGGCCGCCTCACTAGGGATGGCGCAGCAGACTCTCGGTTATGGGTCACATTCGACTGGGATGCATGTCCCGAAGGCAGTGGCTTTGTGCTGCTGAAGATCTCTTCTGCTCAGAACAACGCCTCTCAATACCTCTCGCAGACGCAGCACGGAACACAATATCCGATGCCACAACTTCTGCTTCCTTTCACCCATACTCGGGTTCCAGAATCATTCCAAAATGGCTTCGTAGAATCCTCGGGCTATATTTCAATCGAGCTAGAACACTACAGCGAAACAACCAACAACAGCGACGTGCACTACGAGATATTGCCAGGTGTAAGTCGCACACTCTCTGGCATCACCCTTTTCCCAGTCACAGCAGACTCGCAAACCACAGGAACCGGACCACAACTATCCTACAAGCTCTTCACATTCTCCAACTCCACACCGGGATCTGTTGTCAACATCACAATTGTAACCACGTCTTCTCTCAACATTGATCCCGCGCGACCTCTGCGCTATGCGATTCAGCTCGATGAGCAAGATGTCAAGACTGTTCAGCATGTGGTTGATCAGCCAAAAGGTGCTAAGCCCGTGGGATGGGCTCAAGCTGTGGTGGACCATGCGTGGAAATCGACGACGAAATTCTCGTACAGCGGTGCTGGAGAGCATTCGCTCAAGCTTTGGGCGCTTGAACCGGGAGTCGTGTTCAATACTGCTTGGATTGATCTGGGAGGGATCCAGCCAAGTTATCTGGGACCGCCGGAGAGCTACAGGATTGCCTGAGCATCTGTCGTTGGTTCAAGCATGGGTGTATAGTGTATGCAAGGCTTTCTATTTCCAGCAATGCACAAGTTTTGGAGCGCCCGTCAATTTTCTGGCGTAGGTGATTGTGTTGTATGTAGCACTATAGTATTAAGCGAGTGGTCTGTGCACGGACACTAGCTCCTACTCCTTGCACACCTGGCTTCAAGCTTGTTTGGCGCCGTGCGCTGCCTCTGCCTCTCGCCATGATTTCGGGTTCGGCTTACTACGTCGACTGCGCCTCGCTTGCTTGCTTGTACTAGCAGGCGCATCGTCTGTCGCTTTCTCTCACCGCATTCTGCTTCAATTCTCATTCATCAGCTCCCCCACATCAGCGCCGAAGCACATTCCGACAATGTCCGGCCCAACTGTGCCAAAGATCAACACCACCGATGTACACGGCCAGTATTCCGGAAGCAGTAAGTCCATGTCCTTCTCAATCCAGTGCACATGCCACCACACCCCCAGGTGCAGAGCTGACTGTCCGGACGCAGGCTCCTCGGACGACCATTTCTCCTCCGCCGATGAAGGCACTCCAAACCCCAATCGCATGAGTACAGACGGGTCTCAGTCTCCTATTCCGATCACCCGCGTAGAAAGAGTCGACGACAAAGCTGCACATGGCGAAGTGCCTGGAACTCCAGCTTATGAGCAACGCTTGCAAGACGCCGTCCCTGACGAACTCGAGATCGTGCCTGAGGGCAGGAGACCCAGGAGTGGCACTCAAAGCCGGTCAAGGAGTCACTCCAACCTCAGCGTATCTAGCAGACCAAACACTCCTGGCGGCTCTCCTGTGCCGAAGTTGGTCGTAGAGAGAGTCGACAATAAGCCAGCGCATGGCGAGGTAGTTGGTACACCAGCACACGAGATGAGAATGGCGGATGCCATCCCAGACGAAGTGCGGACAGCCCCGCCTGAGGCCAGAGATGGCCAGAATGGTAGGTACGTTGATATCAACAGGTGATAGCGGATCCAATACTGATTCCACATGTGTAGCGCCTCCCAAATAGATCCAGAAGACAGCCAAGCATTCTTCAAGTCCATGTGGGAGAGCAAACCAGAAGAGAAACAGGCTACGCAAGCACAGAATATAGAAGAGGATGAGCCCTCAAATGACGAAGATGAAGGAGACGATGGATTTGGTGACGACTTTGACGAATTTGCAGAGGGCGGCGAGGTTGATGATTTTGGGGACTTTGACGAAGCAGAGCCAGAAACACCGACAGCACCACCTCAAGAACCTGATTACACTCCCTCTTCAATACTGAGCACATTGGCAGGCCTTGTAAGTAGATTTATCAATGACCCAGTTTGGGCAAGATGGTGGTCCCAAGCGTCAACGTAGGCTGACTGTGCTTCGTACAGCCGCCTCTGGACCTCAAGCTCGATCTCTCCGGTTCCGATCTCCAGGATACCATAGCGCCCTATTTGGACCTCATATTTCCGGACTCAAATGCACCGCCTCCTGCCTCATCGTTGCCGCCACTTGACATGTCCAACAGCTCGCCATTCCTCTCAGATCGTTCACTCTCCCTGTGGCAACAGCTGGTGTCGCCACCGCCCATGCAGCCGCCAAACTGGACAAGGAGCAGAATTCGCCGCCTTTTCCTCGTATCATTAGGTGTACCAGTAGATCTTGATGAGATTCTTCCACCTTCGAAGCAGAAGCGCTTGGTCCTGCCCAACATTAATCTTACCTCCCCGCGAGCTTCGACTGCACAACTTCAGCGATTGAAAGAGGGCGGTAATGATAGCTCTACTTCAATAGACTCGAAAACTGGGGAGAGGAAGAAGGGTGGCCTAAAACGATCTGGGACTGTGAAAGGCCCTCCTCCGCCTCCCGATTTCGACTCAAACAGAGCTATGCTCATCTGCAGAACGACCGAAGAGGCATTGAAAAACCTTGATGACCAAGACTTGAAGGATCATGTTTTCACTCTCGAGATACTCATTAAAGAGGGCAACAAGGTGCACGAGTATTGGTTACAACGGACCGACGATGCACTGAAAGAAAAGGAAGCGTTGGAAGGCGTGATCGAGAATTTGGTCGGATTTGTGAAAGGCAGGAGAGGGAAATGAAGATCACGCATCGTGAATCCTGTCGTTGATGTCCACATAGAGAGCGCACTCCAATATGTGCAGCTGCATTATGCCAGAGCTAGATACCCATACCACTCTAATGGAGAGACGCATTTGCTTGTGTTGGACATAGAGGTTCCAGTCGTTGTCTTAGATGCCTTAGGCAGCAAACAACCGAGAGGATGATACTTCATCGCTGCCTCTCTAGATCTATCGCAATACAATCGTTCTATAGGTAACGTTACCTCTATCTATTCACGTATGGTGTTCAACAGCTTCAGTTGACCTGCGCGGTCACCTTCACCTCTCGCTTTCGTGACGCAGTGCTTTTTACAACGTCGGCACTTCATCTTCGGTCCAAATCATTTTGCAACGCAAAATATGGAATTGGTGGATCACTTTTCCCAATCTCATTGTCTAGGACACATGGAATTCCTAGCACCGCTCTCAGCGACGCATCTTTCTCGATCCGGATCCTTTCTAATGTTCCTCGGAAGTGCGAAGAGTGCGAAGATATGCTGTGTGTGAATATCGCCGGGCCTTTGTCTTGACGCCCTCGCTGTCGCTCAATCACTTCGGTCCTACGCGGAGGAAGACCATGATGGTGAAACCGATGTGTGGCGTGACATTCAATATACTTCGAGCGACGACGTCCAGCATTGGACATCATTGGTAAAGGCCGTCCAATCTGTCAAGATGAAGGAGATTCAAATCGATGTCAGCAATTGCTACTGTCTATTCGGTTGCTATCGACTCATCGACGAAGCTCGAGACGCGTTTCACTGTCTCAAGCTCAATCCCAAGCTGGAAAAACTCGTGATTGTGGGCACTAAGAGCAAAGAAGAGCGGCGCACCATCACGGATATTGTCGTGCGGTCACTGCTGGATACTGCGGAAGATGTCACGTTATTGAACAAGGAGTTCTACCCTGACGGCTGGGGCAATCGGCTGGGAGAATTCAGGGACGGGGTTCGTCCGAAGCTTCACTTCCCAAAGTTCGAGGTAATCGAGAGGTCCAGGTTCTCGCTTGACGATTACGATGTAGAAGGCGGTCTGGAGGATGAGGAAGTGGATCTCTATAATCTGGTTATGGAGAAGAAAGGTGGCAAGATTGATGTGGTAACGGGAAAAGAGGAAGAGGAATAACCGCACATAGAGGATGAAATGATCGTTTGGCGTTCATCGCTATCCATATCAGCTCCGCAATGAAGTCGTAGCTGAAGGGCTCAGGGACGACTCTTGAAGACTGGCAGCGTCTTTGTGATCGTGGTAACAGTGCTGCTTATGCATTACGCAATAGACTCTGTGAAGGGTAAGATCAGAGAGCGGTACAGATCATCGTCGCGCAAGTGAACTCCTGATGTCTCTCTATGAAGGAGTTACAGGCAAGATAGCTGTATGAATGCCCCTGCCAGCAGTGCTACTCACGTTGTAATTCATATATACTATGAATGGTAAGTGTAGCGAGCGATACAGTCCACCACCGTTGGTGAAGTGAGCTCGTGATGTCGTTCGTTGGAGAAGTCGCAGTGGAAAGCGTCAGCTGGGAGAGATTCAGCTCGAACTTGGGACCTGCTTGAAGCTGCTCGGGCTCAAAATGGTGGCCGATATCAAGGTCGAAGAATTGGAGCTTGGCATTGCTTTTGGTATCAAGCATTTGGGTGAGTAGGTGAAGGACTCAGAAGTGAGGCGCATTCTGTGATGGAAAGCGAAGGGCGGCCAAATTAGGTAATCACGGGCTGGCCCGAGGAGGCTTTGACTCTTCATTGCCCGCTTCCACCTCCAATCCTACCCGCTATATAAGCACGCCTCAAACACGAAACGCAGCGGCAGCGGCGACAGCAGGGCTTTGGGGGCTGCGACGCGATAGCATTGAATAATAAAAGATCTCTCCTCCATCGACGCCCCGGTTTCGGTGCGCGCGACGCCTCCTGAACTTCGCTGAGCCGCCCAACGCCGCGCCGTGCAGGCACGAGAAGTGAGGGCGGCGGCGGCGGTATTCGCTCACTCCAAACGGCGACAGCACTTCGAACAAGAAGCCTGCTGCTGCATACCTTCTTCTTGACGTGCATCTCCCACTCTTGAATCGAGCCGCCCTACACCATGACGAACAACCTGGTGGTACGTCGAAAGTGCCGCACCGGGGCCGCTTTGGGCGGTAGTGTGTGTGGTGTCTCTGCTAACACCGCAACAGGGCGACGTCTACGCCAAGATCATCGAGGAGGTCGTCGCGGCGTCGAGTGCTGATTTCGAGGAGAACGGGGTGGGCAGCACTACGCTCCAAGAACTGCAGCAGGTGCGTAGATGCATTTCCAATCCGAGCCGTCGTCCGCTGCCCCGACATCAATTCCTTCCATCGTCACGTCTGTCGCAATCGAAGCATATCCATAGCGATATCGAGAAAGATGTGTGGGGGCGGGCAAAATATCGACTTTGGCTGGCCACGCAGCTGAAAAGCGTTGCGCTGCCTCTGTCTCAGAAGCGGGCGGGCGGAGCGGGGCTTTAGGATTGCGCGCTCTGGGCGAGCCCGCCTTTTGCCTGCTTTCTTTATACCGCGCAATTCCGCTAACCCCCACCCCTGCAAAGGCGCTTGTCTGCTTTCAGCCCATCACGTGCAATGCCATCGTTTCGAGATACGATACTGACAGTGCACAGGAATGGCAGGCAAAGTTGTCGGCGCGCGGTGTCGCTGCTATGCCGTGGGACCCTAAGCCCCAGCCAGCAGCTCAACAGGCTCCCGTCTCAGCTTCTGTCCCTTCTGGAAACGTCAATGGACTTCCCGTTTCGTCATCCTACCCATCCAACCCATATGCCGCATCTGCAACTGCAAATGATGCAAATGGGACGCGAATCAAGGCGGAGCCTGGTGGTGAGCACCAATATCATGGCTTGCCAAATGGTAATGGCTACCAGCAGAATGGTGTTGCAGCACCTATGAATACTCAAGGTGGTTCAGCTCGTGCCCAGCAATTGCTCCAGCAGCAATTTGGCTCTGCTGCAAATCCCTCTGTCAGTGCCATGCAGCGGGGTGGCCTCGCACTTCCGGGTCAGCAGGCAAAGCCGCAAGGTCTTCAGCTACCGCCCGGCAGTCCCGCGCAGCAGCAATTCCAGCAGCAGCAAGCCCAAGCTATGCAACAGCAACAGCAACAGCAACAGCAGCGGCTGCAGCAACAACAAGCTCAACCACGCATCAAAGTTGAGAATAATAGCCCTCAGCTCCAGCAAGGATCCTTTAACCAGCAAGGTCAAGGCACAAATTACAGCCAGACCGACGGTGCCGACGAGGCCGACGAGGATATGCATCAGTGGCGTGCCATGTTGGCAGAACGCCGTGCTCTTCATGCTCAGCAGGGCCAGCAGGCCGACAGAATGATGCGCGATCATGTCATGCAACTGTCCGAGGACCTTTCAAGTGGTCTCATGGTCCCACTTAACGAGCATCCATCGAAGAAGAACAGGAAACGACGATCTGCACCTCGCAACACTGCTATCTCATCCTCTGCTACTCCTCCATTCATCCCACAGCTTGATGGCGATGCAGACGAGGATGATGAGAAGCCGGACATCAAAGACGAAGACGACGAGAATGCCATTAACAGTGACCTCGACGACTCGGATGACGATGGTGCTGGGGCGATGGGGGATGATGAGGATGAGCTCGGAGACTCAATTCTGTGTACCTATGACAAGGTCCAGCGTGTCAAGAACAAGTGGAAGTGCACCCTCAAGGATGGCGTCATGAGCGTCAACGGCAAGGAGTGGGTATTCCACAAGGGAATGGGAGAATTCGAATGGTGAACACGAGACACTCCTCCCACGAATGCGCCAGGAACCCTTACCTATCAACATCATCAGTATTTACCACACAAGCAAGTGCACTGCTACTTGCTTCGCGACACTATTTTACGAAAACTGCTTCAAAAGACACCAGAAGCGCGCATGCATGGTTTGGATAGATTTTTACCAGATTGACTTAGTACGACACCAGCTGGGGGCTGGGCACTCGCAGCTAGACGAGATACGAACAGGAGTGTGGGATAAGAAAAAGGCTTCTCTTGGCCTGCTTCAATACTCTATCTGTACAAATAGAACCTTCATCAACGAAGAGATCTGTTCTCTGCACTATCGTCTCGTGCTCCCCCGTTGCTATCAATAACGGCATCAATGTCATCTACAAATGCCTCGAAAGGGGTATATGGCAATCACTTCGCTTCGCCTATCGCTCCTCCGGTCCCTTCTCTTTTCAGTTCCATCTTCGTTCATGTTGTTTTCCTCTGCTGTTCCAAAATCCTCTTGGTAGTTGAAATTCCAAGCGCCGGCCGCTATGCGCTATGGTGTCGGTCGCATATAACTTGATACAAGCCTTGTGCAACCACGAGGCTCATGACCATGCGTCGCGGCTACCGAGACATGTCGGAGAATTTGATCCCATGGCGATTCATAGGCGCCGCCATCGCCAGAAAAAGTCCCAGGCGCCTGGTCATCGTGTCTTCATGCAAATCATCGCGCATGAACATCATCATGCTGAGTTGGTCGATCTCATATCTGAAACGATCCTCCTCTCCGATCAGCTTCGTCGACGCCAAAGCCGAACACAAGTCTAAATAAATCTCGCATCCAAGCCCACTGCCCCGTGCTTCCAAGCCATCTTACGGCTTTGGCAGTTTCGGCGGCACTCAGTCTTCGGCCTGCCACAGTGTGTACCGTCAGCATTGATTTGTCGTTTGTGACGAGTTTCTTGTAGAAGCTGAGGACTTTCATTTGCCAGGGTAGTGTACCGAAGGCGTTGTCTGGTAATGCTTTCACGTAGGTCGGGAGCGGTTGCCCTGATGTGCGTGAGTAGCCTGTGTTCATGCCGGCTTTGAGGAGCAGGCATCGTAGTCGTGCTAATTGGCCTTCTTCGCCTCCTGCTGTGGCGGTGGAGGAAGACCTCTGCGAGTCAGCGGCTGATTCTGAGTAATCACTTAGAACGGATGCATTGCTGGACCAGCGTTCGTGATGCGGTGCACCTCGTGCTGATCCCGATGAAGATGCTGGACCAAGGACCAGGATGTTTGGAACGGTGACTGAGTCTGGGGACGAGTTCGCTGTGGATGTGTCGTCGAATATAGTTACTGGCGTCTCGGGAGGAAATGCGCTTGCTTCGTGATACTTTCGAGTGCTGACCGTGCTTGCCGTGGACCGTCCGTTTGAGCCGCGAGTAGAGTTGGAGTGTAGTGATGCTTGAGAGCCGAACGTTGTCTGGATGGGCCGTGGTGTGTTTCTATCAGGTCTGATCTGAGTCCAGCCTTCTCGGAAAAGATCGCATAATTCCCAGCACGCTTGCACAGCCGACCCAAGGAGATCTTCGTCCGCCTGCTTGCCTTCGCGGCTGTTCTGCCGTAAGTTGAAGAGCATTTCTGCAAGGGACCAGCAAGCTCGGAGCAGAGAGTCCGTCTCCTGCGGCAAAGATGTACGCATCTTCATGAGTCGATGGCAAAGCGTGATGTAGAAGTCAAGGGTGCGCTCAACGAATGCATCCGGCAGATTGCGATCATGTATGTTGTAAAGATGATTGTTGAGTTCAAAGCTCACACGAAGTACCGAATCCGATGCTTCATCAACTCTTTGCCTTGCATCAAAGAGCGACTGACAGAAGTCTCGGCATAGCTCCAAAGTCGGGATGACCTGCGAGGTGTGATCTTCGTCTTTGTGGTCGTATAGTTCTTGGCACAGCCGCCAACAGCTTCGCCATGCTTGTTCCTGGACTTCCGTCTTGCCTTGGAACTTGAACGTCCGTTGCCTGTGGCTGGAGGAGAGATTTGCGAGAGTATTGCATAGCGTCCAGCACTCGGCCAGTGCCGTGCGAAGAGCAGCGACTTCTTCATTGACATTGTCCAGAGTTTGGATGGCCTGCGCCATGGAGGCGTCGCTAACGAGTCCCGCTGTGTTGGGTGCATCATCTTCCTTGTTCTCGTCTTCTGGCTCGGCGCCGGGCTCCTCGTCGATGTCCTTGTCCAAGGCTTCGGGGATGTCTGCACGCACCGTTAGATGTTTTTCGAAGTATGTATCGAAGCCCGGAAGCAGACCTGCTAGGCTCGACGTGCGTCGACTTTTGCGATTATATTCTTCGTCCAGCTCTTGCCTTGTCTTGGCCTGTGGAGTCTCTCGTTCCATATAGCGTGGCACATTTGTGTTTACCGGAGATATGGTGGCAGATGGCCTCTATGCGCAAAGCCTCAGTACTTGGTGAAGCAGAATACACAAGTCTTCTTCGAGCGCTTACCCGGTCTGCAGGCGGAATGACTACCGCTTCTGGTGTGCTTGGGGATGCGACTCTGGCAGTATTCTCCGATTGTTCCGAAGGCGAAGTGTGAGTCCGGCCAGATTCAAAGTCTTTGAAGCCTGACGGAATGTGAATCACTGACTGTGGATCATTGTCTGCTGAGTCCGAACGTAGGCGCGAAGGCAACGCCGTAACGATCTTAGGCGGGTTGTCCTGCTGCGGTCAGTACCCGATCATGTGTCGCACAACGTATGCCGTACACTCTTTGCGCTCGCAGGACTGATAATCTCAATATCTGGTGATTGCACTTCAAGAGAGCCTCTATTGCGTTCTGATCCTGCCAATTCTACTTCCGCATCCTCTTGTGCATCCTCTTCTATCTCTGTACCTTCTGTGCCATTGGAGTCTACCGGCGAGGGTTCGATCTGTTGCGGGTATGGGGAAGGTGGTGGTGCGAGGGAGTCGCTTGGTCCAGATGATCTTGGAGGTCAAATTTAGCACGAGTGTCTTCTCTGCACATATCAAATCATTCCCTTACCGATTACTCCGAGTATTTCCGGATCCTGGGAGAGTGTTGAATCGTGCAGGCGAATTGGGAGAGTCTGAGTGCGGACTAAAGGCAGAAGCCAGGCCAGCGGCTGTAGGTGAAGGCATCGGTGGACTTGTGAGTGCCATATCAGCACGCGAGCGATGGCGTGAAGAGCGCAGTGTCGCTTGAGCAGAGGTTGAGCTGTATCAAGCTTGTGTGGGCACCAGCACCTCTATGCGCCTGCAGGTCATATTCAGTAATGCATTGCCGTGCCGCAATGCTGCCTGCCTGCCTACTCCGGCCTTGTTGTACAGTATACTCCGAGATGTCCGTTGGCTTGCGGTCGATGTATGCAGGTGTTCAGCTTGGTGCGCAGGCAGATTCGGCTGAAAGCGCAGCACCACGGCTGTGACAAGGCGTTGCGGCCTCCCAGCCGGACTCGTGCACTGTAGAGGCAGAGTGCCGGGGAGAATTGGCGGCGCAGCGCAGCTGGCTCTGTTCAGTCGGCGTGGCACAGTCAGTGCTGTCACTCCGCGATGTTCAAGTAGCAATGGATCCTTGAAGCTATGGCCCATGCGCCATCTGCCAGACCACCTGTGCAGCGCAGTGTGCATGCAGACGCATCAAACAGACGCGTTACCCGTCCCGTCCTGGTTTCTGCCTGTGATCAAGGTTCTCTGGTCGAAAGAACTGTTAAGCGCTGAGGTCCTGACGCCGACCATTCACAGCAGAACGCGCTTGACCTCGCAAGGCAAGGTTTCCTTGGCGCGGAGCAAAACGCCTCTAAGCCCTGTGAAACCCCGACCTCACTTGCATCTTCATCACCAATCCTGCCTAGCACTTCGTGCATGGCTCCATTCCTTCACCTTCCAAGCGACTCCTCCGCTCCGTCGACCTTCTCTTGCACTCGGTCGCAGAACAGATGCCAGCTGTTTGCCGTATAAGGAAGCATGTTTGCTTACCGTATCGAACTCACGCTGACCAATGATGTGCAATGTCATCTTCGCCGATCAATCAGAACGTGCGTACACGTGGAGACTGACAGGCTTGCTGAATCCGCTTCATTCATGCGTACAGTATCCTGCGCACACAATCGCTGAGCTATGCCGCAGAGCTTGTTGCACAGAGATGTGAGCCAAACCTGTAATCTTCCGGAAAGTCGCCTATGCACGCGCGGTGGCCCAACATGCTGGAGCGGCAGTCACGCTAACAGGCGCTGGGTACCATACGCCGCACTGCTACAGCTGAGTCTGGGGATCATTGTTGAAGTCCAAAGCATATTGCGAGCCAGTATTTGCCGACAATTGACTTTTAAAGCTGGGGTTGCTGGAGGCTGGAGCATTGAGAAGAATGTCGTGCTCTGCTCGAAGGGTTTCAGTACTTGTGATGTGGACCGGTGAAGCTTGGTTGATCCTTCGACTTCGACATGGGGATTTTGGAGCCGGGCGCCTATTGCGAGCCCGCTTGGAGCTGGCATGTTGACATGAAGATCATTGGGTCGATGCTGCCCTCCCAACTGGGTGGCATGAGGTCGAGCATGTTGGTCAAGATGTTGGAACTATATCATGACTCATGAGACATTCAGCTCAAAGCAACCGTTCTCGAGACAATTGCAGGTGCTTCGACAGCTGAGCCGCAATGCTGGGTAGCGCCATCATAGAATGATACTCATTGCTTCATACGTGGTTGCGACAAGGGCAAGATTTGGGTGCTTTGTTGTCAGCTGTGGCTTGGTGCACGTTCACAGACGAGTGCTAATATAGAACTGTGGGCAATGTCGAGCACAAGAGAATTCGGGACAGGTAATGCTTGTAGTTGCTGATTTGATGCTTTCATCATGGCAAGCTCCTGAAGGCTCGCTCGTCTGCGGCAGTGGCTGATTGCACGGACTCACAGGATGTGACAGATATCATCCCACCCAACCTTTCTTCTCATCGGCTTCACCCAGAATACGGTCCTCAACAGGTGGTGGGGGCGCATACTGTGGTCTGGCGCCGGTGACTGGCGGAGCATTCTGGGCAATGGCGTCTTCGTAACTCGGCGGAGCATCATCATACTGAGGCAATGTCGAGGGTCCTGCTTGCGCAGGCCAGGCCGGTGACATCGAACCTGGGGTCTCGATTGGAGTCGGTGGTATTTGGTTCGCGCCAAAGTCAGAGTCTCGCCTGCCCTCACTCCTAAGCTTGTCATGCATAGGATTCGTGGACTTTCTGCGTATCCCAGGCTTTGTGTCTGCCATACGTGCGACGACCTCAGGCGGAGGTGCAATGCCGGAGTACACCAAAGTGTCAAGACGCAGAGGAAGGACAACGGTCGAGGCCTGAGCAGAAGACCTTGTCAGCTTGATCGGGTTCTGTGTCATGGCAGGAGTGCATGCTACGAACCTTGGAGGTGGCACCTCCACAACTTAGCCCTATCCGGATATCAAGCTGGTGTGTTCGCTCGATATTGCAGGTTGTGAAGTTTGGAGCCACCGTGTTGGGAAGCACTTGCGACCTCCATAATCCATTGTCAATAATGCTCTCTGCCCCTGCATCTGCTCCGTCTGCCGTCTGCGTAATAAGCACTCCCATGTTGCTTCTGCTGACGAGAATCCAGCTATTGCTTTCAGTCCTATACACATCATGCGCCCGGATTTTGGTATAACTGATGAGCGATATCTGGAGCGATTGGAGATAAATGGGTTCGCTGAAGTCGTTTAATTTCTTAAGCATGAGCCTTAGTGGTACGTCTTGATTGCACGTGAGTACCGCAGGCTCTGGTAGTCGTGCATCTATGCTGATGAAGGGAGAGCCACCGTTAAGTGGCGAGTCCGGGGCGCTGGACTTCTTCGAGAAGATGCCCTTCATCTTCTCCTTGGCGGACGATGATGCGCCACCGTCTGGAAAGGAATCGAAGAGATGCTTCTGTCGTGCAAAGACTTCAGATCCGGTCGAAGGAGGTCTTGGTGGCTCGATAGGAAAGAAGTTGAAAGGCACATAAGCCCTAGGGTTTTCCTTGAAGATTGAATGTCTGTTGACAGTCACTTTCACAAAGTATCTGATTTCTGCCTCTCCAGGAAACCCGCTGAGAGTCGGTGGTAGGGTGCGCTTCACATGGCGAGTCGCAGGCCTTGCGATCTCCATTCCAATCATCATCGGCATCGCAATTGCTTGCGTTGAACAGCTGTTGTTGAAAGGGATCTAGCAATAATGGTGATCAGCAAGTCTTAACGTCAACCTACCACCAAGACACGGCCGCATGGCAGTGCGCATGCGGCTCTTGCTCCATTTGCGAAGCCCATCCGGAGGCAACGCGCTGCCCGCACTCACCTTGAAGTTGAACGGATACTCATGCTGACCCGGAGGAAGCGTATAGGCAGCTTTAGCCGAAGCGTGAGCCCTACTCTCCATGATATCCGTTGGCGGAAAGACAGTCTGTATTCGATACAGAATCTTGTGATACTCAACCATCGGTTTGGGCCTTTCTCCATTTGGTCCTTGAGGAGACAGCAACCGGGTCCTGGACTCTCCTTCAAGCTTCACTTCAATTTTGCTGATGTCGGCAGGCCTCGCGGTGCGCACAACTACTCGTCCAGAGATGATGTCGAGGTTGGTGTACGCCACATTGCCAGGCTGGTCTAGCGATATGGTTGCATTCATGGTGCCTCCGTGACCAACGCCGCCAGACCATTGTGAGAAGCCAGAGACTGGCAGCACAGGCGATGAGACCATCAAGATCGCTCGCTAGAATAGAGAAAGTGATTGTCTGGGTCAGGAACGAGTATCGAGTTTGGGCTCGCAATTGCTGCGGTTGAAGCAAACAAGGCGGCTGCCACGTTTCTTCGCGCGTGGTACGCAGACCGACTTCTCTGCTTGGCTGCTGGCGTTGTTTTTGTTCGCAAGCGGTCTCTAACACCAGCTCAATCTGCGGGCGCGGGCAATAGGAAATTCAGGAATGTGTCTGCCTGGACAAAATGGTTGAGTTGAGTTATGCTTTCGATGGAGGCGGTCACGTGCATCATGTCGAAGCACGGAACGCGTTTGCGATGAAGTCAGCAGAAACTCGCACGGGCCAACGTTCGTTGAAACAAATTGCTTGGCAGCCTATGGAGCATCTGCATTTTGCTGATCAACTAGTCTGTCTTCATCGACATGATTCCTTGCCAAATATTGGATGCACCAAAGGTGTGCAACCCGAATCGCGAGGCTCGACAAGGAGCGAAGTCACAACTGCATGTTCTACGGCATTCTACCTGCTCCGCCACGTTCCGGGTTAGGTCAGCTTGGAGACATTGTTCGTCACGCAGAGGATACCATCAGCAAACTCGAAAATGCCGGGTGGATTCGTTAAGTATTAGTTGCGAAATACGGAACCATTACAACTACTCTCGGCCGTCTCGCGGCCGCTTGGAAATCCGCCGAATCTATTCCATATCTCCCTTTCCCTTCATAACGCCGTGCTAACCGAAAAGTATTTAGGGTATCATTCCAGGAACTTTGTCCAACTTGGATATGGTCTGACTCGAATACAATGCTTCTTCACAACGTCGTTAGGTCGTCAAAATGTCGAATGTGCAATGTGGTCGAAGCCAAAGCGGCCCGTGGAGGTAATGGTCTAAAAGACCGGCACCCTCGTCGTGTGCGAACGCGCGAAGTATGAATAACCGGGAGGTGCATCGATAAATGACTCTCGCGGAGCCCTAGGAGCGGCTCGTCCAAGCCAGCTCTGGCCTTGGTACTCAGGTGATGGAATGTGGATGGTTCTTGGCTCGAAGAAGTCTGGCGGCTGCTCATCGTCCGAGATGTCTACGCCCTCAATCGCAGACTCGACAGATACTCTGCGAGGACTCAGCACCCCTGCGGACCCTTCACAGGAAATCTGGAAAGGTATCTTTAGGTCCATGGTGCCGGCAAGTCCAGCAGCGGGTAGACCAAGTTCCATTTTCAGCTGATAGATGCGGCTGATGAGGCATGAGTGGAATGTAGGCACGAATGCCTTGTTCTTGGGAAGATTGATTGGAACCACGATGCGAGCCGTCCAGTATCTACCCTTCCTGAAAGTCTCGCTTGGCCGCGGAGTTTCGCCAGTGCTCAGAGATGAGGTGGAAGTCACGGAATCCGACCGGCGAAGCTCGTCGCTAGCTTTGTGTTCTTGCCATTCGACATTTGCGACACAACGCGAAGACAGGTTCAGCTGTTGAGCGTGTAGACCTTGGGACAGATCGAGGAGAGATGCTTGCTTGCTTGGCAGAGATTGGCGGGCAGTGCTAGCGAAGTAGGTGAGCACTTTCAACTTGCTCGTCAGACTTCCAAGACTTGGTGGCTGTGATTTCTCGTCGATCGGATCGAAGCGCAGCATGATTGTGGCTATGGAGGTCTCGGAGTCTGAACCACGACGGGGTCGCAGTCGCATTGATGGTGGTTGAGCAGCCTCCATCACGAGAGTACCCAGCTTTCCTTTCAGGAGCCCTTTCTTCACGGTGCGCTCCTTGCGCATCGTGTATTCTCTATTGCCGCTTGTGTCCAACGGCGGAGCTTCAGGAACAGCTGGGATGACACGAACTCTGGTGGCCTTGGTTGCGATGGTCGTCCGAACAATTTCGTCACCTTGCTCCTTATCTTTGCAGATTTTTACAAACACTCCGTAACGGACGGATGCCATGTCTGGTACCATGTCGTCGATGGATTTCTCGGTTCCTTCGGCCTTGGAGTCGGCATCCCTGTCTCCAAACGTGGGTGGCAGAATTGTGTGAAGCTCACGCAGCATTGGATGAGCTACCTTGTGTTGACAGACTCGTGGGAGAAGCTGCTCGGGTATGGCAAACTCAAAGGGGAAGTCGTACGTTCTGCCGGCCTTGAAGATCCTGTCAGGTGGGAAGCATGCAGCTAACTGGGCGGGTGGTTGTTCCAGCTTCAAGAACTGGTGGAAAGCCTCAGAACGTCCGGAGATGGCAGCTGCTGTGGTGAGTCTTTCGACATAGGTCCTGGCAGTGCCTATGAAATCGATGTTCAGGGCATCAAACGGAGTATCCACTGGAGCGGTGATGGAAACAATGCCCGTCAGCCTGTCCAAAGTGGTATAAGTGCTTCGCCGCTCACTGAGAGAGATGCTGATGTCTGGCTTCTGTGCATGGTAGAGGCTTCGCAGCTTGGACATCTTTTCCTGGCTTTCGCTTCCAATGGCGAGACGTGCAGTAGACATGTTTCAATAGCAAGAGGTCGGTGACGCGTGGCCGGGTCGTTGCTGCTAAGTATCGCTTCTGAATGCGGGGACGACTGCAAAGGTAGGTATGTGTTGGACAGCGGTGGCTTGGAGTGAGAGCTCACTGCGCGTGTGCCACACGTAGCTAGGTGCGCGATTCAAGCCCAGTGCCTGCTGCGGTGTTGCGAGCTGTTGAATGCGTGGGGCTATGAAGTCCTATATCCCATATGGCCACAGCTGAGGAGTAGAGAGCTTGCTCTGTAGTGTTTGAGATGGTGAAAGTAGTAGTGGACCGGGGCAGCAAGAGCAATTCCTACCTTGCACCATGGCGGCGAATGCTTGTCCTTTAAACAGTCACATCCGAATCATTGGAAACGATAACTTAGGCGGCACGGCATGGGTGATGGGCAGTTGAGCGATGAACGGCCATGCTGCATGGGCTTTGGGCGTTGATGATTGGCTCGCTCTCCATGGCCGCCACGATTCCTACGAAGAACACTGGCCCACAGCGTGGCAGAACCTTCAAACCTGGGGATACCGGGATTCGTCAGCACAGGCGTAGGGCGCGGATTCAGCTTCGACCTCGATCATGAGCTGTGCGCCCTTCTGTGCCCATGATTATCCCACTTTCCGCGACATCGCAGTGCGTCCATCACGCTGCTTTCACTCTCCATCCACCTCCTCTCCCGATTTCTTTGCAAAATCGGCAGGACACGGACATGGGCGAGGGTACAAGCAGCAGTCGCGCCATCAAAGAGACGTGCGCGTTGATGGGGAATGTGCCCTTTCCATGAAGGGTATATGAATCCATGAGGAACGCGTGGGTTAACCGTGCACGACCCCGAGCAACGGGCCGGGGCACTACATGACACATAAGAATCGTATGTGTAAGGCCAGCGAGTTCCAGGCGTGTGTGGGTTGAAGGTTCGCCATCGCAGCATTGTTCCAATTGTGGGCCGCATGCGGTTCGTGAGTGAAAATTTCGCAGCACTCGAATACGACCAGGTGTGCCCTGGAAATAGCTCAGCACGCTTCATCCATGAGCCCAGCCTCATTGACGGTAGAATGATAACCGAGCATGTTCACGGAAAGATTTTCCGCGATTTAGGGATATAGCAATCCTAACCACCGAAATCACCGACCTGACTACCAATCTGACTAATCGGATAGAGCCGTAGTAGTCCGTACGGTGGTCCGTGCGTAGCCTCGGCTTAAGCTAGCCCTATTTTCCGAAAGTTTATTAGAATCGACTAGGAATCGACTAAGAATCGACTAGGAATTAAATAGGAATAAGATAAGAATCGAATCGAATTAAATAGGAATAGGAATAGGAATAGGGTAAGAGATAAAGTAGATTTCTATAGCTTTAGATAACTTTAATAACTAAAAAACTTATAAATCTAAAACTAGATTCGCTTTCTAAGTATAAAAAATAGAAGTATATATAAGTTAAGGCCTAGCGCTACAATTTTATAAGCTATAACTAAGTAAATAACTTGCTTTTAAAGGCAAATATAGTCCTAGCTTTACTTCTAACTAGATACTACTAGAGTAGTTCTAGGCGGAACTAAGTAGTAGATCTAATTCTAGATATAATAATAATAGGTATATATCTAGTATATAGGGCTATATATATTATTAGTAATCTACATTAGTTTTTTATAGGACTATATTCTAGTACTATCTATATCCTACTTATATTTAAATTAAACTCGTAACTAGAATTACTAGTACTATTATTAAAGTAGATTTTTCTTCTTATTAAACTAAGTCGTATTATTTTAATATAATAATATCTTCTATATAGGTAAGCTATTAAGTTATTTTATTTAGTACTTAGCTAAGTTTTTCTAGAATTCTTTCTAAATTCTTTCTAAATTCTATTTAAATCCTACTAGTCGAATTGTTTTCAAGTCCTATTAAATCAAATCTTATTCGAATCTAATTCGAATTCTATTTATATAGATTTAATTAATACCTAACTAAGCTCTATATCAACTCTATAAAATTTCTATCTAAATCTATTTTTAAAACCCTTTTAAATTTTTAAAATTCTATTCTACTTTCTTTCTATTCTATTTTCTTTCTATTCTATTTGTATTAGCTACTTTAATTATTTTTTATTATCTAAATAGTTAATAGTCTCTAGGTATAATTAGAGATGCTAATATGATTTTTAAATATAGCTAATCCACTAGCTAATTAGTTATTTTAGTATAGCTAAACTATTTCTTAAATTCTATCCGAATCCTATCCGAATTCTTTCTAAAATCTTTCTAAATCCTTTCTAAATTCTATTTTAATCTTACTAGTTGAAATCTTTTCGAGTCCTGTTAAATTAAATATTATTCGAATCTAATTCGAATCCTATTTATTTAGATTTGATTTGTATTTAATTAAGTTCTATTTGAATTTTATTTAATTTCTATCTAAATCTATTTCTAAAACTCCTTAAGATTTTTAAAATTCTATTCTGTTTACTTTCTATTCTGTTTATATTCTCTTTGTAATCTTAATATATTAATATTCTATTTATATTAGCTACTATAATTATTTTTTATTATTTAAATAGTAGTTAATAGTCTCTAAGTCTAATTAGAGAGAATCTTAGTAATTAGCTAATACAATTTTAAAATTTAGCTAATTTAGTAGTTAGCTAAACTATTTCTTAAATTCTATTTAAATCCTATCCGATTCCTATCCGATTTCTATCCGATTTCTATCCGATTCCTATCCGATTCCTATCCGATTCCTATCCGATTCCTATCTAATTCCTATCCGATTCCTATCTAATTTCTATCTAATTCTTATCTAATTTATTTTTAAATCGTTTTTTTAAAAATACTATATTAACTCTATTTAAATTCTGTTTAAATTCTATTTAGTTCCTATCCGAATCCTTTTCGAATCCTTTCCGAATCCTTTTAAAAAATCTTTACCCTATAGTAATATTATAGAAGTAAAAAAATAAAAGATCTTTTATTTCTTATAAAAATTTCATTTCAATTCTACTAGAACTATAATAAACTTACTTAATAGTTTCGCATTCCGATTGGATTGGGCCTCGGCTAACCCCCTGTCGTTTTAGAGTTCCTAACCACCGGCGCTGCTCGCGATTTTTCGCATGCGCGCGCATGATATACGGAGTTGGCACGGAATTCAAAACAAGCTTTGCTGTTGGCCGAACATCGGCCCATGTCACGTGAGATGCACCGTCCACGAACTGAATGCCGATCGCAGTTCACGCCCTTCCCTTCCTTTCAGACATGCCTGCTGCTTGGTAATGAGCGAGCATATGACTCTTGCCAGAGCCAGACACGATGATCTGAGACTGAACTTCACGTCCTTATTAGCCGTTAGGTCGTTAGGATGTGGAGAACATTGTGCATCAGTCGCAGCCGGGCTGACTTCATGTTCATTTATTCACCTTCCACTGCTCACTGTGAATTGGGTTCGCTTGCAGCACCATACGCCATGGCTTGGCTCATGGGACAAGTGGCTGTATAGACACCAAGGTTGAGTAGATATGCACCAGAGTTGAACTCGTGCCACATCTTTTCAATCACCCACCGATATTTTGACCCCACAGCCGCCTTGCCAACTGCAACCAAGGAGATCCCGAAGACGTCTAGAATACTGGATTGGGTTAGCCAGAACGATGATCGAACGGCAAGCAGAACTCACCGAATTGCAGCCATGGTATAGGGCTTTCTTCTGGAGCTTGATGGGTGGCTGACTACTCTGACCTGCCGAATCGACATGACTTGCATATCCTCCGCTACCGTCTCGCTCGCCACCTCATCACTGAAGTCGCTGAAGAATCCCAGAACGACATCGACAGCCGCAAGATCGATCATCTGCAATTATTCGCACCTGTTGAAGGACCGGAGATTACAACAACTCGTGCAGCAGGTTCTCACATATCCAACTGAAATGATCCCGACCAGGAACGTGAGTGCAACAATCGGGACCACACTTGCATTTGACACGGGCAGGACGGAGAATGCCGTTAGCAGTAAGCTATATGTCTCCCGTCTTGGCCTTTATCTGCTGAACTTAGATCGCCAGCTGGACAATCTAGCGACCTCATCAATGCAATGGCACTCGGCATCTTCACGACAGATACCAAGACGACCTTCCGCTGTCCTACGGGAAACTGCACTTGGCCCCCTTTCCAAAGTCTTGGCGTATGCAGTGAGTGTACCGACATGGGCGCCATGGACGCATGTGCCGGCGGCAACACAGGATCCATGTATTACGGCAACCCGGGCTGTCTTTTCAGGTCCTACGATCCCAATCCTCGTGGCGAAATGCTGTTCGTGAATGCGACTTCAGCATTCTCTTGCGCCGCGAGCACCTTCGCCAATATCAGCGTAATCTACGAAAATGCCGGTGGTATGACTCCCTGGGCATCGCGGAGGGCGCACAAATGCATGTTCTCATTCTGTCGCAAATCATACCAGAAGACCACTTTCACCGGAGATGTCTTGATGGATACTGCTTCGCAGCCCAAGGCTTTGATTGCCGGAATCACAGGCTCTGGCCCGAATAGGACAGGTCTATGCCCGTTTCACGTCCGTGCAGAAGGCAATGATGATGACGAGACCTACTGGATTAATGGCAACGACATCGACATTGTCGGAATCGCGCTCACGTCTCTATTCTGGTCATCTCTGAACACGAATCTAGGTGCTAATAACCATGTAGCCGCAGCACTCTCTCGTCGTAACGGTGGCGACATTCCTCGGACCATGGATGATGTTGCCACGAGCATGACGAACCAGATACGACAGGGCCCGAACGCTACCCAGATTCATGGAACTGCGCTTGTACCTGTGGTCCACATCAAAGTGTCATGGCCGTGGCTCATTTATCCCGCAACCTTGGTGCTCGCAGCTGTGTCGTTCTTGATTGTGACGATAGTTCTGTCCCACAAGCAACGACACATTGCTTGGAAATCTTCTACTCTTGCAACGATGTATCACAGTGTGCACAGTCAAGGGACTTCTGATGCAAGACTATACACTTCGAAGGCGATGCGAAACGCCGCAAGTGAGAGACGAGCCCTGCTGAGTCGTGATGAGGAGGGAGGGTTTGCTCTTATATACAAGAGGTAACCGATTGACTTGCTGACATTCAGAACTCGTTGACGGTTATGCCCACTTGCTCGTGAATTACGAACTCACTCTTCAGCTTCGCTAGCGTCGCTGATAGAGAAGAAGACGAATTGTGATGGAATGGCCATATCCCAGAACCGGTTGCCTTCCCGATTACCTCCCAATCTGGACCTTCCTCGATTGCGACGATGCTTACGATCACAATCCAACTCAGAAACGACCTAACTACCTAACTACCTAACATGCTACGAAAGCGTTGCTCAATTGTGATGCGCCTAGCTTCAGATATCAACTGCATTGCGCCGTTCACGTCCAGCGTAAACTTCGTCATCGAAGGACTTTGTCTTTGTGCCAATCCCCCGGCGATCATTTCCATAAGGTGAGTGGCGGCGCAGGGAACAGGTGTTGCCGCCACATTTGCGGCAGCTCAGTTCGAAGGCGCTTCTCTTGAGACTCACCAAATACGAGAGCAGAGTTTGTGGTGTGCAGAGCCTGTGAACGAGCATTTGCATGGAGATAGTAAGTTACATGCAACGACTGTCGTTATCAAAGCTACACTTGCAGGTTCACGCGTCTGAAAAAAATGATTCGTTCTATTCCCCGGTGTCCTTTCAAATTGCCATTACGATGCTCTCTCAGCTTCCAATAACACCCAAAAAGACAGGACTCCGCAATGATCCTGAATTTCACACCTTTTCGTCTCCTCCCAAACGAGCCGCAGCAGCCTCCACAGCACTCACAACCTTGAACTCATTCCCCAATGTACGGAGCAGGAACGCACGTGCTTTGTCGATAACAAATTCCCACACATCCTTCTTGTCCGTCAACTTGTTCTCAAAGAATGCAACAACAAGCGCTGTAGCTGCGACATCAGAATCAGCATTATCAGCGAACTTCAATCTCTGAACCTGTGTTTCATCGACGCCGATATGAGCCAGAAGCTCTTGACTCCACTTCCAAGCCCCATTGAACATCTGGAGTCCGATGAGCTGGTGCATAACAAAAGCAGATGGAGCGGGTGCAGGAACATGAGGCGCTGGTGGGGGAGGTGGTGAATCGAATAAGCCAAAGCCCTTGTCTTCGTCATCGTCATCCGTGGCAGCTTGTGCCCTAGGTGGTGAGTCGAATGAGCCCATCGCAAGGGTTTCAGCTTCCTCTTCGTCCGAAATGGGCATGCTATAAGCTTGTTGCATCTCTTGCTGGTATTGTTGCATTGTAGCCTGATCGATCTCTGGTGAGACAGGTGCCATACTATTTGATGCCGCGCTGCTAAACAAAGTTCCTGGTGGTTGATTTGCAGACATGTGGGCGCGCGACCGCGAAGCCCTCACCTGGGGAATGGACAACGCTGCTTGATGTGAGTAGCACAGTCTGGAGGATACTCCGTTGGCACCAAATGCCGAAGAGCGTCTCGTCTGGCCCACGTTGCTTGAGCCGAAAAGACCTCCGGTCGGTGCTGGCGTTGCACGGCTCCTCACAATGCTTGAGGTCCGAGCGCAGCCGAAAGGTGCACAGGCGGACGTTATGCGTGCACGTGGAACTGGCATCAAGCGCTGACTTTCGCCTGCCTCAGTCATTCCATCATCATTTCTTTCGTTATTGACCGCCACGAAAGAGGTCCACTTTGAAGCAACCTGGAACTTTTCGCCAAGACGCACGGCTTGACGTTCGACAATCTCATCGAAGCGACTCTCGTACTTGTTCTTGATCAAAGTTTCAGCGTCTTCGCTACTCGTGGCCGATTGAAGCCAGCCTCGATCTTCCTCAAGATCTTGAATTGCTTTACGAGCCGCAAGCTTGTAGATAGAAGTCCCTTGGATCTTTCCGGAGATCGGGATGTCTAGTTCCAGAGGTCCAGATGGAGCTTGCGCTCGCAGAGTGACAGATTTGATCTCCTTCTGTGCCGAATCCGGGCCAAGCAACATGAATACTGTGCTTCGACTGAACGGAAAGAACGGCGGGATTGTCGACGGCGCTTGGAGGATTCGTGGTGTGTCAATGATAGGCAGATTAGCGTAGCGATCGACTGGTTCGTTGTTGATGAGTGAGTCCGCGTCGGCTGTGGGATCGAAGAACGACTTTGGTTCACCAGACTCTCGTTTCTCCTGCGCTTTGTTTGGAGCGTCGTCGATCTTGAGCAGGTTGGACACTCGCTCCACAAACTCAAAGTCGTCAACTTCTTCGCTGCCGGGATCGTGCTTGTAGTTAATCTCCATGGAATAGTCCTTGGTATGTGGGTACAATGCTGCTTTCAGCATTCTGATAACCTTTGCATCGGTATCCTCATTCTGAGTGACAAATTGTGCGAATCCACTTCCAGCTCTTGCGATCCCTTCGACCAAGGTGTGAGAAACGTCATTTCCAATGCCAAGAGCGAAGACTCTGGCATCGACGCTCTTGTCACGGATTTGTTCGTTGATGTAGCTGAAGACTTGATGCTCCTGCCAAATTTCACCATCCGTAAGTAGCATGATCTCCAACGGCAAGTTCTTGAGATGCTTCTTGAAAGTGGCTTTGATCGGCTCAAGCATCTCAGTGCCACCATAGCTCGCCTGAAAGTTGCTGACGAACGCCAATGCTTCAGCCACATGATCTTCCTTGTAGGCACGAGACTTTGCCCACAGAAACCTGTAACTGTTTCCAAATGCGCAGATGTTGAAACGAACACCAAGTGGCAAAGACTTGATGAACACCTGAAGCGCCGCAACGAGAGCCTTATTCTTTCCGCCGGACATGCTCCCGGACTGATCTGCAATGAACACAATTTCAGGTGAAGCGGGCTTGAGGACGAATTTTGGTACCAGTGTGGCCATAAAAGCTCGGTGACCAGGAAAGTCGGGGTGCGTTTCGACAATGGCTTGTGGCCGACTGATGTCGTCGATCTGCACTTGCAACACGAAATCTCCGCTGAGCTCACAACTTCCTTGCGATAGACTAGCGGAGGCTTGCGAGTTGGAGAATGGCGCCTCCGTTGCCTGCGTGTCTTTGACTGCAGTTGACAATTCACCCATTTGCAGTGCGATAGGATGACTTGGTGATTGTACTTTCCGAATCTTGGAATCACCCATATCAATATCCACGGTGATCTTCATCCCATCAACTAGCAATACGTTGGAGTTCACGATTTGACCTGGGTACGTGCCGTAGCGAGGGGCGATGCTGGTCGGGAGAATGAAACGTAGACCATCGATTCCTGCGTCATGTTTGAGCTCTCCACAGTATAGAACTTCAACAGTGATGTCCGCCGCAGCAGGCACATTCCCAAGCGTGACTCCAAAGACTCCAGCAGGTAAACATTCCAGCAGCCCAGCGGTCTCTCCTCGATCGACCGCCGCCTTGAACGTTTGCTTGGCGGCTTCCTTCTCTTTCACGATGCCTTTCAGGCACTCGTTCGCATATCTGATCGTGTAGCCACATAATGTGACACCATCGTAGAGTGGAAACGTGTACCGTATCTCTGGCACAGCTGCATCGTTTGTGTTGTGAAAGCGTTGCGTTAGAGTGGTTTCAAAGGAGACTGGCGTCAGTGTCGTATGAGAGTCGAGCCTAACTTGCGGAAGGTATTTTCGCTGTCTCTTCAATGTGTAGTAGCAACCGCAGATGTGATTGTTTGCGCCGTAGAGCTGCTGATGACCGAAAAGTGACATATTGGTCTGATATCTGTTGATGATGCTTGATATTTTGAGGTGCTGAGCGATGTGATGGTTTGTTGATAGTGGGTTGACGGTTGTGAAATGCACTTGACTGAGCAAAGGTCTGTTTTCCCCTCAACAAACATGATATATCTTCGCATCTTCGTAGGCAGGCAGCTACCTAGCTACCTAGGCGGCTGCCTTAACGGCTTTTGGCATGCTGCGCCCCATTTTTGACCAATCACAATCACCACACAGTATTCGCGACTCTGTGGCTTGCTCAAACGATGACTCCGCCCAGTCAAAGAGGGAAGCTCAAGACATTGTGCGAAATGGTAATACTGTGCTGTGTCAACAAGTTTGCTGGTTTGCTACAATCATGTTGTGTAATTGACATGTCTCAAAAACCGGATTGAGCTCTCCTAGATACTGTACAAGAAATCGAGATAGCGTTTGGGCGCCATATTGGTGTTGATAGAGACCGCAATCGAAGAATTGTCTGTTTGCCAAAAGACCAAGTGCATAGACAAGACTGAGCAAGGACAATTGTGCTGGCCATTCACTGCGGACCTTTCGTCTTGAGGAGTGCAATGTCGTCAAAACTCTGTCTTCCGAGAACTTTAAATGAGAGATGTAAATCGACCCAGCCTATAGTGAGAGACCTACAATTAGGAGGTAGAGTCTCTAGATGTCCTGAGATCGTCATGCAGGAGTGCTTTTGCTGTTTGTCCGTAGGAAGAGCTATATGCACGCTTGCAGAGTTCCGTATTCGCATTTCGGGCCTGCGTGCTCGTGGAAGAGATTCATCAGCGTACCAAGCGATCAATCGCGTGCCATGATCAGCAGAAAGAGTAGGTAATAATTCGATATGCGCCATGAGGTCTCAATGTTACGCGATGTTACAGGCAACGTGATGCAGGAGTGAGCCAATCTCAGGTACTGTGCTGCCGGAGTAACCGTGCCCACCCCGCGAATTTCATAGAATTCGCGAAACCACTATAGATTGTTAGCAATTCGAACTATATCAAACCAACCAACGCGTTTCCAATACCGCAAACCATGTCGTCGTACTCCTAGCGGTATAGACGGTCCTAGGTGTTGTTTTAGCGTTCTAATAGCACTATTATCGGGTTAGAAATACGCGCAGCTAACCCGCTAGCAAATACCTCCTAATCAGATTACTTTTATATAGGATCTATAGGCAGAAGGCTACTCTAATCGCAGTGTCTCTAGGAAGACGCATATTAGTCGCCGCGCTATTAACTCTTTAAGGATTAACATTACATTATTTAGCGAGCCGTACCCGCAATAGGCGAAGAAAGGACCTTCTCGGAAGCTGACTAAGGCGCAAGAACTGCGTATTCTCGAATACCTACGCGATCGACCGACTTCGTACTATTCCGAGACCGTATAGTTCATTTACGACGAGTTTGATATTATCGTATCCGAGACGACCGTAAGCGACATCCTTAAACGCTATAACTTCTCGAAGAAGAAGGCTTAGCGTAAGGCGCTCGAATAGAGCTACGAGTTGCGCGAGAACTAGCGTACGCTATAGAAAGGGATGCTAATAGGTCGTATCTGCTATATCGACGAGTCTAGTTCAAACGAGCGCACTAGATAGCGGAAATATAGCTATTCTGAAGTTAACACTCTTTGTAAAGATATCGGCGGCTCGAAGAGGTTAAAGAGATAGTCTATACTACCTACTATAACAAGTAAGGGTTATCTAGACGATTACCTTATCTACTAAGGCTCTATTAAAGCCGTAGACTTCGAAGACTAGCTAGAGTTGTTTATACTGCCTCGACTAGAAAGGGGTATGTTTCTCGCAATAGACAATACCTCGATACACTACACTCTACGCGTTTAAGACCTATATAATAGCTTTAGCATTTACCTGCGTTACTTGCCGCTATACTTACTAGACTTCAATCCTATCGAGATGTCCTTTAACTCGCTTAAGGTATAGATTAGGCGTAATATAGACCTCGTAAAGGCATACGAGACATTCGGTCTATTCCTTTAATATGCTATAGAACAGGTTGATATAGTATCGTATACGAAAGCGTAGTTTTAGGCCTCTAGGTACCGATATTGATCGAATCTCCGATCAAAATATATCCGGTATTCGTAGGTCTACCTTATATGCTCGGCGGTTCGCTAGACAAGCAAACGCTTACTAATTTGTTAGACAAAGTCGTGCTAAGACGAACCCTCTGTTATCGTATACTGATTTCGACTACCGCCGGCGTAGTATTAAGGAGATCTCGTCGCCTTAAACTCGATCGGCTTCCGCTCGGCTTCGCTCGGCTTTGCTTAGAGTTAGTGAAGCCGTATCCCCTTTAGCATTTCTAGCTTGCATACAACTATTAGAACACAACAACAATATATGATATTTATTATACAATAATTATTTCTCGACAGTATACGTATATAATAAGGCTATCTCTTTTTTTCAGTATTTTTCTACGGTGTAGTATTGTATAGAAACTCTATAAATCTCAAAGCCGTCCATCCTTTATATACTTCCGCCCCGCTTAGCGGAAATACTCCTATTGCCCTTCTTTAAAGCCTAGTTTATACTACTTTCCTTCTGTTATACCGATATATCTTAACAACCTAAGCTCCCGGTCCTTAAACACTCGCTCTATATACTCTAGGTCTTCTAATCGATGGCTCTAATATATCCTTTAACGTAGCTAGGCAAAGAACTCGTAGATTTAGTCTACTAGGTCTACCTATTCTGCTTCCGGTTATAAGCTACGTAGTAGACTCGAAGGCAACTGTTCCTTTACTATCGTAGAGCTAGGTATATAGTTATTTACCGTTACGCCGCCGCTATTAAATCCACTATTAGCCTTTGCGCTCTTCGCACTTTAAGCGAATAGATTGCGAGCCGAGTTGCTTATATAGCGCTACTTATAGCGCTATATCTTATTAACAAGTAAAGAGCCTAGATCTATAATAGTTAGGTCGCCTCTCGCTATTCTAGCCGCCTACGCTATAGCTATCTCTTTATAGATTAAGTAGTGAGAAGTATCTAGGTTAGAGCTATTATAATAGCAATACTAACCGTACTAGTTATAGGTTGTCTTCTTGTACGCCTATACGCGCTTTATTATCTCTCGATAGTCGCTATTATCTTCCTTACGAAGCTCCTCAATTGTTAGCGTTTGCCGTAGATTGCTAGCTTCTTCTTCTAACTCGAGACGACGCTGCCGACGCACTTTATCTAACTGCCGCTAAGTCGCAGTCACTCTCTAAGAGCCGCCTAGAGTTAGTCGCTATTGCTACTGTCTCGCTCGCTACTGTATAGGCGTCTATAGCGGCTTTAGATCAATCACTATTATATCTAGAAGCATAGTAAGGCCTTGCTTATTAGTACTATACTAATCGTCGAGTTGATCTAGAATAGCGAGCTAGGCCGAGTCTTATTCTCGTTTATCGCTACCGATACTTATCGAGAAGATATCTCGCTATCGAAGACTATTATGCGAGCACTTAACGATAATCTCTCGATAGTCGTACTTATCTTCCTTGCTACTATACTACTTATCGTACACTTCGAGGAAGTTACGCTAGGGCTCGAAGCTAGATACTCGCCGTACGCGTAGTTAACAATCTCTACGTAGGCGTTCTTTACCGTAGGATATATATACTAGCGCGCGGAAGTTATACTCAATCTCGGCTTCTTACTGCGCTTTAGCGTCCTTATTATCTTTATTAACCCTCTCTTTATTATCGGCTCTAGGAGGTACGACTTCTTCTATTTCGTCGTCTTCTATAGGCGCTTCTTCTTAACCCTCCGGATAACCGCTAGCTTCTAGCAATTAGTCGTCTATTTGCGACTGCTAATCGATAGTAGGCTCCTTGCTATTCCGCCGCTTCTTTAAGGTACTCGCTACGGCGCGTTTACGCTTCTTCGGGTTAGCAGCAGACTACGCTTCTGCTATTATAGCGGCGGACTCTACGGCCTCTTTAGCCTTACGAGACGCGTTGGGTTTACGGCGGGGAGGCATTGTTTAGTTATTAGTACTAAATCGACGGCAGGCTCGAGAAATGCCTCCTTCTTAACCCTACGCGTTACTACTAGAGCGAGAAGTGCGAGAAGTATAGCTAGAATGGCATTCAATTCGGCTTTACTAACAAATTACTAGGAGACGCGAATCGCGCGGCATACGTGGGGTAGGCACGGTTACTCCGGCACGGTAATAGTCCCGGTGTTCGGTGGAGGCTGACAGCTGACAGCTGTGACGTCGCCCAAGCGAAAGGCTGAATCCTTTGAACCGCTTTTGTCCCAGAACGAATACGAAAGCTCAGCTTCAATAGTTATGGTACCCAGATAAAAGGTATATAGATGAAGTGGATTCCTTTGTCGTCGAGATGCTGTCCAGAACAGGTTCAGACTTCTTTGTGTACAATCCCGACATAACAGGCTCCAACAAGAAATACACGCAAGATGGCCGACGCCAGCATTGATAACATGCGCGATTCCAGCCCCCATGCCACGAACGAACCAATTTTGAAAGTCGATTTCTCCTGGAAGAAGTTCAAGACCAGAATGAGCGATGCAGCGACAGACCAGCAAGTCTATATCGTTGACTGCCATCTCAAGAAGCCATACCTCGAATTCAAGTATGCGGACTCTGGCGAAATATTTGGCATCGGAAACATTCATACTTTCAAGATCCACGCCGATGCGGAAGTCAATGGCCAGGCCATACAGATTCGAGCCAACAAGCGTTGGATCACAGAATACACCCATCTCAGCCATGCGTACCCCAGCGCTACCGGAGACCCAGTGACACTGAAATGGAGGACATCCTGGTCGATGAAGAATTGGGACTTCATCTGCTTGGGGCCTGAACAAGAACCAATCGCGAGATTTTCAAGCAATATCTGGGCAGTGACCAAGGTTGGCAAGTTTGAATTCATGGGCAGCCCAAGCAAAGCGCTGAAGGAGGAGATCCTTGTGACCGGATTTACTTTGTACTATTGCATGATTTACCGAGCGAACAGCTTGCCGGCCTTCTTTGGCGCCTTCTTTGCAAGCACTGGCCCAGTGAAGGAAGAGGAGGCTCTCTCAAAGCAACAACAGGAGACCGAGTTGCAGAGGATGTCTGTGTCAGCAGACAAGACCAAGGTGGCGTAGAGATCGCGGGTCCATTTCGATCATGGTTGCTGTTGTAGATATCCGGGGTTTCGTCAGTCACACTTCACCCCGCGGTCGCGGGGATTCAAACTATACGTAAAATCGCACTTTCTTAGTAGGCTACACGTAAATCTCGATATAATCGTACATTCCAGTCCTATTCGGATATCTAGGTAGGTGCAGTAAGGAACCGCGAGTCCAAATATTATATATATAGCCTTGTCCGAGTGTGTAGTAGCTATAGACCTCACTGCCGCCGTTTTCTTATATAATCCTTAGCAGGCGCGTCCACCTTATTCCAAGGCGCGTACCGCGCAATAGAGGCTAAATCGGGCTATCGGCTAAGAAGGTCAGTATTCGCGTACTCTGTAAGGCCGAGAAGAGAGGTCCTACGGTCGTAATTTGGTTACTAATATACCGGAAATCTACTGTTTCTTGTCTCTTATTCTACTTATGTTTAGTCTCCTATTATATATGCTCTACAACATTGCTGTCGTCGAGTTTTACGTATAGCCTACTAAGAAAGTGCGATTTTACGTATAGTTTAAATCCCCGAGCGCGGGCGAGGGGTGAAGTGGGCTGACGCAACCCCGGATACCCACTAGCTTTGCTTCAATGCAATTCGGCATTTCGTCTTCCATGATGAATTCCCATCCTCACTGCGGCGATCCTCTGAGTCCGTATCAATGGCCTTCCTAAGTGCACACCTGACGAATGTATCATCTCTTGTTATCAGCTTGCGATCGCGCCAGGTTCAAGGCACGTCGCTGTCAGCCGCATGTATGAAGAACGTTGTCGGAGGGCACGCGTGGCATCATTGTAGGTTTGGTCTCGCATTTCTTGCGGCAGGCAGAGGACGGGACCAGTAGACGCTGTATCGTTACTGGATGCGGCGAAGGCAGTTGTGGTTTCGAATCGGAACAGTGTTGGGAGGGGAGGATCAGAACACGGAGGAAGCAGAAGCAGGCCAGACCTCCACTCCCGAGTCAGCTGACTCAGCTCCCGACCAATGTCTCCAGCAGCTGCTACTTATGCTTGTTGGCGAAGACACAAAGTTACCTTGTTCGAGCGGAGCGACAGACCAATAGGCACCTGGAGCAACTCGAGGAGAGCTGGAGTGGCGCTCAAGAACAAATCAGATCAGTGCCAATAACGTACGCGTGCGTATAGTTGGTGGTAGCAGTAATGGTGGTATACAGGCAAAAGATGCGCCCGCAAAACTGACCGAGCCCTCTGATTGGTCTAAAATCGAATCCGAGTCACGTGCCCTTCAACCTTAGGCTATACTTTCACACAACAACAAAGGCAACAAAGGTAACACCACAATACGCCAATACCACTACTATCCCCCTAATATAATGTTGAAGCGTAAACGCTTTTAGTTTTAGCGCTAGTCTGATATTGTTCTTAAGCGCTACTCCGTCGCTCCGCTCGATTAGGACAAGCACCATAGGGCTTGAACGATACTTTGTGATCCCTAGTCGTGAAAGGCTACCATGCCACTGCCGAGACGAAGGGACCCAGGCGCGGTCGAGACACACGAGCGGAGAAGTGACGTCGATGAAGGTCACGAACTCAACTTGAGATGCTACCTTAAATCATTATTGTGAACCGGAGGAACTAACGTGTAGTTTCTGTCGTCGAATCCATATTGGCAATCTGATTTGAACAGTAACGCGCACGACAGTAAAGACACAATGCGGTTCTCAATCCTATCCTTGGTGGCCATTGGCCTGCGGTACATCAATGCTCAGACGTACACTGGCCCAGAAGACTCTCGCATCGAAACAGCATTGACTCTGGATGTACCCACCAACGGAGTCAGTACAACTCCATCTGGACGATTATTCCTTGTCCTGTCTCGAGTAGATGGTTCCAAAGGTCCCCAAGTAGTGGAATACAATCGCACCACAAGCACAATGACAGCTTACCCGAACGAAGAATGGAACTCCTATGCCGATGGGAAAGATCCTGGCAGCCATCTCGTACGTATCAATAGTCAACGGATAGGTCCGGATGGAAAGCTCTACTTAGTCGATGTCGGCTCGCCATCCTTCGGAGAACCAGTCATCTTCCCTCATGGCCCTAAGCTGGTTCAGGTTGATGTTGAGAAGAACGAGGTCTCACGGATCTTTTGGATGGCCAACGCCACACGGTACAACTCTTTGCTCGATGACGTTCGCTTCAACCCTGCGACTGGGAAGGCATACCTCACCGATGCGGGAAGCCCAGGGTTGATCGTGCTAGATTTGGCATCTGGCGATTCACGAAGAGTCCTTGAATCCTATCCAGGCATTACTCAAGGCGCGACACCTATGTCAGCCGAAGGTCAATATATTGTCCAATCTGCAAATGGAGAATCACTGTTCATCCATGCCGACCAACTCGAAGTCTCGCCTGACGGGAAATGGCTTTACTTTCAGCCCGCGAATGGCGGAATGTCGAAGATCGAGACAAGTTGGTTGAACCAAGCATTCTACAACACCTCGCTCGCCGGCGATGTCTTGAAATCCTATGTCCAAGTGCATTCCTTGACACCTCCAACTAGTGGCACGGCAATTGATGCCGATGGATGTGTTTATGTTTCTGACACTGACAGTCAGCGCATCATCAAGCTCGATCCTAGCGGGAAGAAGGAATTGGTAGTTCAAGATCCGAGACTGTTGTGGGTTGATGCGATGTGGATTGATTCTGAGAAGAAGTTGTGGATGCCTGCTGCGCAATTGAATCGTGGAATCCCGTTTGGCAATGGCAAGCTCAATATCACTAAGCCGCTGCATACTTTCACGATAGACATCGGTGTTGGGCCTAGTTTGATAGATCATGCATAGGCATGGATCACGAATTATCACGGGGCCGTAATGCATGATTATTGTACTTCATTGCCCCTGCAAGTCTCTCTCATTACTAACATGCGACAATTGAACAATTTCTGATATGCCAACACACGATAGAAAGAATCGCATCAAAGGGCAACGATCTCATTTTATTACGGGCTTGAAAGACCTGTGTGGGTCATATAGCGAAGTCACAACGGCTATCAGTGCCTGTCGTTCTGACCTCGACCTCCGTATGTGAATGTAGTAGGCCTGATAGCGAACCAGACGATTGGTCGCAGCATAGAGAGACAGTAATGATCTCCATCACCTTCAACGTACAGTAGCGAGTTCCAAAAGCTTAGGCGGGCTGAGTCAAGTTGTTTCATTCATGCGTGAATCTAACTGAGCACGTGCCCCAGTCGACCTTTCATCGGAAGTCAACCAGGTATGCCTGTCACCACCACTTGAGGCACACCTTGTGATCCTCGTATCGACCATCATCGTGCAATGCTTTTCCAAACCACCTTCATCCGCTTCCGAATCCTCTCTTAAGCCACAATATGTCTAAGCACGGGACATGACACCCCAGGCACGGATCTTGTTGTCGGTGTAACCAGCGAACAGAGTCTGGCCATCAGCAGACCAGGCGAGAGAGATACACTCCGGCTCGCGGGCCTTGCCACCACCCTCGAGGAACTCTGGGCGGAGCTCGTCAACCTTGCTCTTCTTCTCGAGATCGAAGATGACGATCTGCTTGGCAGTGGCAGCGCACAGCCAGTAGCGGTTTGGCGAGAAGACAAGGGCGTGGATCTCGTCACCGGCAGAGAGGGAGTAGAGGTGCTTGGACTCGTTCAGGTCCCAGAGCATGGTGGTACCATCCTTGCCACCGGAGGCGCAGAGAGAGCCATCTGGTGAAATGGTGACGGTGTTGATGTAGCCAGTGTGGCCGATGTGGTCGGTCTGAAGGCGGCAGGTGGATAGTTCCCAAACCTGGTACAACAAAGTCAGCAAAATTTCCGGGCTTGCTGCTCCATACGTCGAAGATATCGCAATGACGACAGATCAGTGCGCCGGTGAAGGCAAAGTATGTTTCATAGCCCTTGGGCTCTAAAGTAGCAAATACTTGAAATAGCATCATGTGAAGACTGGAAGAAGCGAGGGATTGTACTGACCTTGACGAACTTGTCCCAACCAGCAGAGACGATGACTGGGTTCTGTGGGTTTGGCGAGAAGCGCACACAGGAGACCCACTCGGTGTGGCCCTTGTCGGTGATGGTGTACTTGCAGTCACCGAGAGTGTTCCACAGCTTAATGGTGCGGTCGCGCGAGCCGGAGACGATCTGACGGTTGTCGGCGGAGAAAGAGACGGAGAGGACGTCGTTGTTATGTCCAACGAAGCGGCGGGTGGTCTGGCCGGTAGAGAGCTCCCACAGGCGCAGAGTCTTGTCCCAAGAGGAGGACAGAGCGTAGGCGCCGTCAGAGGAGATGACACAGTCGGAGACGATGTGCGAGTGGCCGTGGAGCGAGCGCTTGGGGTAGCCGTAGCTGGTCTCGTCGCGGGTGAGGTTCCAAATGATCAGGGACTTGTCACGCGAACCAGAGAGGAGCATGTTGGGGCTGCCAATGCCTGTCAGTCAAAGTGCGGAAGAATGGCATACGACTGGTTTTCTCACTTCTCGAGCGAGGTAGCCAAGCTGGTGACCCAGCCGGAGTGGCCCTCAAGGGTGCCGCGGAGGACGAGCTGCTCTGCCATGACTGCGGTGGTGGTGGGAAGTGAGTGTGTTGGTGGTGATGAGATGCACTTGGTGATTGTGATGGTCGCCAGAAGTTCGCTAGGTAATTTGGGAGGTGCTTTCCGCGCACAGACGTGCCTTGAAAGCTTGGCGACGGCCAGTCCCGTTCGCGCCGCGGGAGAGCATTCAAGGAGTCCTCTTAGATGTTAGGAAATTTAGCGTACCACTGTTTCAATCAGTGGTTACCTTCCGGAGGGCGTTATCCACTGAGTCAGTAGTGTTGGCCTAGTATTTGACGGTGCTTATCCTCTTCTAGTACCGTAATAACCTTCTCGGTTATACTACTAGTTCTAACCGTATCTTTAGTACCTCCGCGGCTCTACGTAAGTGCATTCTTATTATATAAACTAGGCTCTTTCTAATAGCTATAATAGCACTAATAGCTTAGTCTTATAGCTCTTCTTATCGTTATAATATACCGCCTATCTTATCTAAACTAGTACCGCCGCCGTCGTTTAGGCCTAACTGTATACTATATAATATAATCGATATTCGAGAGTAGCTATTTAACGTACCTTCGTATAGATTAATATACGAAGGGGACCGATTTAAGGTATTAAAGGTATATATAAGTAACGTATATAAGGAGTCGAGGTCGCTAAGAACAAAGGACTAGCTAGAATAGCGCTCGTATTAGTATTATCGTTATAGGCGCGATTAGTAGCGAAATAGGTCGCTTCTAGGTAGTATTCGTAAGGTTAAATATAATAAGAAGCCGTATAATGCTACGATAGTCGTTATATCGCATTACCGGAAGAGGGAGGCTTAACTATATTAGGTTAGTGTCCGCTAGTATAGAAGCGACCTTTCTATAGTTAGGGATAACTTATATTGCTACGACCTAAGGTATATAGATATTCGGTCGTCTAATAACGCTTTAAAGGTGTTTCTCGAGGAACTAATAGAACAGCGCTAAATAAACGTTGCTAAGGTCCTAGATTATATTAGAAGTAGTCTATTAAAGGACGAGTTTAGTAAGATAGGTAGATAGTATATAAAGGCCGGTACTGTCGCTTAGTCGAAGATTAAACCTAACTAGAAGAAGGTACGTACTAATAACCGTAGAAATGCGAGTATTTAACTAGACGACCTTCCTACCGCTCTATAAGGCCTCTATAACGACCTCGATAGCAAACAGCTCCGATATTAGCTAATTAAGAAGAAGCTAAAGGGCAAGGTAGAGCGTAGCATTGTCTTCTAGACCGAGTAGCAGCGACAGTTGTTAAATACTAAGGCAGGTAATATAAGTATTACTATAAGTTAGAAGGCAGGCGCATAACTAAGCTTCTAAGGCTTGCGTTCTACAGTTCTAACTACTAACTTTAAAAATTCAAAATATTACTAACTTATATGCTATATAGTTGTTCTTGCTAGACGCAACTTATAAGACTACGGACCTTAGCTAGAACCTTTTTACTATACATATTCGCAATAGTTTAGAGTGTTAGTTGCTAGTAGGATACCTATTGCTAGAATCTTAGAAAGCTAAGCTAGTAGAAGCCGGTCTTCGAGTTATAAAGAATTGGTTACTATACTAGTATCCTATAGCCGCTATTATCGACGACTCGGCCTCCGAACAGGCGGCAATTAACCTGTCTTAAAAGGATAGACATATACTTATTTACCTCTACTAGCGGTACGTTAAAGAGACCTTTCTTCGCTCGTTCCTAGAGGCCTAATTTCTAGAGATCGTTAAGCGCTTTTACTACTTAATCTACTACGTACGTAGCTCCGCCGAGGTTACTAACGATATAGCATAGATACAAGAGTAGTTAAGAGAATAGAAACCGGTAGAATAGGAAAAGAAAATCGCCTATATACGTAATAATTAGAATAGGATATCCTCTCGGAAATAGGCAACCTAGGCAAGGCTTTACAGTCTATTATTGCTGCAAATACGGACTACTTCGCCTCTCGAGGGCTATTACTATGCTATTAAGTATGACCGCAATAAGCGCAACCTCGTGTTCTATAGCCTATATAGTACAATTATCGAGGTTCTAAAGGTAGACGACAGGCAGGCTTATAAGGTACAATTAGCTAGCTATAGGGTTGGCAAACGTATACAATATTAGTATAAGAAGCGCCTTCCGTGCTTCGAGAGTCTACAACCGCCGGCGGCTTAAGATCGCCTTCGAGAACAGGTCGATATTACTATTAAATTCGAGGCTAAGGCGGCACCTATATATAAGGGCACCCTACGCAGTTATAACTAGATAACTCCGGCTCGCTGCAACTGCCTTACCTAGTTTCAATATCGCCTGCCTTACTATTATATTCTTCGAGACTACTTATTTAATAGACTCGAGATTAGTAATATATAGTAGCGGCGGTATATCGACCTGTTTGTAGGGCTTAACGCCCTACTTGCTAATCTATATTAGCGTAAACTCGACACTTAACAGCTTATATTCGAAGGCTATATAGAAGACGCTGTTTCCTTAGTATAAACACCCTAATTACGAGACCTTCGAGGCCACTTTAAAGAAGCGGTAGAAACACTAAATTTAAAGTATTAGCGGATAAAGGACGACCCTTCTATCGACGGCTCTATAAAGGACTTATTCTACGCCTTCTACGTACAGAAGGTTAAAGACTTCTCGGACAGTTGCTACGTACTAGATATTAATTAGTTTATCGCTAATCCTTAAGAGGTCTGCTTTATAGGTAAGACCGAGCGATAATAGACAACTTAACTACCTTCTAAACTAGCGATACTAACTCGCTCTCGACTGCTACTAACTATACCGGAAACGCATTACGTCTACGCTAATATAACCCTCCGACCGTTACCTTTAAAACGGCGTATTTAGTCGTTACCTATTCGACAACCTGTATTCTTATTACCTCCGCTAGGTAACCTTACTCCGAGGCTACTTCCGCGCCTTCCGCTACTACTAGAAACGATCTTCTTAGATACACCTACACGCCGCGAGACTATTCTATAGATATAGTCCTTATAGCCGCTCGATTTAGGCGATATTAAAGAGGTAGATTTAATAGAAGAATAAATAACACTACTAGTACGCAGTCTACCTACGCCGCTAGGTACTACCTATTTAACTAACTACTAGCATTAGGGTAAGCTATTATAGGACTTTATATACAGTATTCGCGAGATTAACGGTATTACCGTAGACGACCGTTGCTTTACCGATTCCGGCCTCTCGTACTTTAAAGAGCTTCTTATCTTCTATAATATAGATAACGATACTATAGAGTCGATAATAAGCTATATCCGAGACGACGATTGCGAACGAGCGGCTAGGCGACTAACTAGCTAGACAATAGACGACTTAGAAGACGACGCCGCTAATAACCTACCTAGCGACGAGCGAATTAGACGAGAGATAAGAGGTATAAGGATATACAGTAACCGCTAGTTAACAGCTAGTAAGCTAGCAATAACTCGTAGGCCGCGCACTAAACAAGAATAATAATAGCGAGGTCGACGAGATAGCAATTAGCGTAGATAGGCCTTCCGCTATAGCCGTAGAAGGCGCTAAAGGCAAGGCAATTCTATAGCAATAACAGGCCTTCCGCTATAGCCGTAGAAGGCGCTAAAGGCAAGGCAATTCTATAGCAACAATAATGTATTCAATCTTAGTCTATATAATAGTCTATAATAGTTACTTCTACTACAAAAGCGCCGCTTCTATAATAGTTAAATAGCCGCTTTAGTAATAGGCTCGAGAAAGGCGCCCTTCTTAACCTAATTCGTTACTACCGCCGAGTAGTTCTAAACGCTACAAAATAGGAGGATTGCGGGAGCTTATTGCTAGTAATTACTAGCGGAACGGCTGTTCTACTCCTCTAAATTAGCTTTTACTAAAACTCCTAATATGCACGATAAATCTATTTAAGCCTTAACCTTATCCGCTCCTACCTCCTTTTAGGCGCCCCGCTTATAGGCTGCTTAGACCTGCCAACTCGTGTCTCTTCCTTCTACTATAGCGACTGCCTTTATATCAATTGTTACATTATAAGGCACTACCTATACTATATCTGTATTAGCGGTCTAAGCGAAGCCTATAGCGGAGCGCCTAAAACTAAACTATTCGTCCTCTATATAATCGCCCGTAGGATTTTAGCACTTTTTAATATATAGGATAATAACTAAATTAGACGAAGACAAACGTAGAAAAAGGGTCCTGCGCCTTAATAAGAAGATAATATATTCCTATACTAAGTATTCGCTAATCTAGGAACTATAGGCTCTATCTTCTATATACTAAGGCTAGTTATCTATATAATCTATAAGAAATCCTAGATTTTCCGCGGCTCGAAGGCTAAGAGTATAAGAAGGGTTATATTAGCAGGTAGATAGGGTAGTAGTAGGTATAGGTAGTATTCGATAAGGATCTAGAAAGAGAGGGAGGAAGGTAGGAGAGTTAGCCTATTACTAAGCGCTAAGCCCTACCTAAGGTATTAAGACCCTAGCTTTACTCGAGCCTAGTTATATACTAATTACGTATAACCTCTTTAGTCCTAATATACGCTTCTCTTCTAAAGGCCGCGCCCTCGTAGCCGGTCTATATTCTAATCTTATCCTCTATTACTACTAACTTAGCAGGTCTAATAAGCTACTTAGCCCGCACTAAATTAAATACGCAACTACCTAATTATATAACTATATTAAACCTTACCTCTAATATAATACAATGTTTAACTCTAACTACGCTATCCTTATATATAATAAAGTAATATATAATTATAAGAATTAAGGACTATCGACTAATTATAATACGAGCGCGCCTTCCCTACTATAATAGATAGGCGTACGAGGTATTGTAGCACTGCCTCCGTTCTAAGTAATGTCGTATCGAGTTCTTTACGTCTACTCTTAAAAGACCTAGAAATGTTCGCTCTAAGAGATCGTTCTTATTATTATAAGGGCTATTATTGTTTGTAGTTTCGCTAGCCCTAATTAGTTAGGTTTAGCAGCCTTTAAATGTTAATCTTATCTTATTTTTTCAAAAAACACAGCTCGTCTAGTTTCTATAGATAAAGGC